AGGTTGCTATGCTTGTGATGAAATAACAACAAAATATAATACGAAAATCTAAACAAATAGAAGAAATTGCAATCACGGTTTTTATTTACAGCGTGGGGTGAAAATAGAGAATCCTGTAAATTACATATCTTTAGTCGAGTTTTCGACCACCGGACGACCACTAATAATTATAAAAGAGTAAACCCTTCAAATAAATTTAACGAAGGTGGTTCTAAATGGAATTACAAAACCAAACACGTATTTGCGCAACAACATAAAAAAAATAACTAGGCAGAACTAATATACAAGTAAGCATAAAATAACCTATAATGATCACAAACCACTTATGAAAGGCATTTTATATTTTAAAAATTCTCCCTCTCTGTTGTAAAAAGATAAATCTAGGATAAAACGTTAAATTTATGCCAACATTTTTCTAAGTTTTAGCCGAATAGCTATTTATTGCTTTTATACGCATGAATTAATATAACAAATATTAACCATAATAACACAATATGATGGCAAAACCACAAATTGTGATGGTACAATAATCACACACTGATGATGGCATAATCACACACCATGATGGCAAAACCGCACACTAGGATGGTATAATCACACACCATGATGGCATAATCACACACTGATGATGGCATAATCGCACACTGATGATGGCATAATCACACACTAGCTCCAGTGATAAGATTGAAGGAAACATCTTGGAGCCAACAGGAATGGTGCGTAAAGGAACTGAGTAAACATTTGTACTAGTAGACATTTGTCAAGAAGAATACGCAATTCCAAAAAATAGTTCATAAAGTCAATATGTCAAATTAATAAACTTGTAAATATGCCAATTCTGTAAAAATAAATGATCAAAACTCAGATAAAATTAAACTGAATGTTTATTCGTCCTACTGCAGTGAAAAGGAACTGTGTCAAGTGAACAGGCATTGCAATACTTCAACCAACAATAAAATAGTTATTGTTATTTTATGAAGAAAAAGAGAATCAGTTGGAGTCAATAGATTTTTCTCACCTACAAGTGTACCTGAATACCTAGGTAACAGATATTTGTTTGTGATCGAAAATACGGATACCCCTTAGGAAGTGGCTTAAAAGTTAAACATTGTACAGACAATTTGTGTGTATTCTTGTGTTATTTAATATGTAATTTAATCAATGTCACTTAATATCAAAAGAATAGCAGAAAAAAAAGTGCTATTTACTGGAGTGGAGTATATTTGAAGTTTTAGTCAGAATACTTTTGGTGAGGAGAGCTCATAGTAAATGTAGTTTTGTAATTTGAATAGTTCATTTTTTTAAATTGTATAATGATATTTAATTATAATTTTTGCTAAGTGCTTTTAAAGACTTAAGCCTTGGAATTAAAACTAATTCCAATTATAATCCTCTTAAGAGTGCGCTAGATACCACTGTTTTCCGTTGAAATGCAAGGATTTGTGGGGAGTGGTTTTAAATAACATTCGACGCTATCCAAAATTATAGTGACAAATAAGAAGTATATCTTCACTTTTAGTTTCATCTTTTTTAAATTACTTTAAATAAATGGCTTTAAAACTGCATTTAAAACCTTAAAATTGGTAGTTCCAGCAGCAATAACGCAATAACACCTGTATCTGTACTATGTATGGCACAAAATTTATGGAATATCTCTTAAGTTTCCAAAAATTGGAAAACTAATTAAATCCTCAAACCCCCTAATTCGACGATTGTGACGTATATTCGCCGATTTCTTCTTGTTTTGTTATCCAAGAAACATTTATATCCAGGAATAACCTAAATAAATGTTCATTATCAGTAAACTGCTTATGAAAAGTCTATGGATGTATGTGAACTGTATAACAAAATAAATGAAGCAAAAGTAGAATATCACCAACATATTTTTGAAGAAAAATGAACTATATTGTGCAAGTGCATTTTCCTCCTTGGTTCCAAGAAACATTCATTGCTATTTTTGCCCGAAGCAGTCTGTTATTGTTCTCTGGAATCAGCATTCGGTCGTTTTATTTATTTACAGAGCCAGAGGTACCGATGATCTATATAGCTAGGTAAGGAGATGGACTAGAATACTGTAGTTAAAGATCGGCGAGGATTTACCCCTTTGAATGCAAAACAGCCTCAAACATACCTCAAAAGGATGAAATGTATTTTTTACTTGTGTCATATAAAAAAGGTTTCTCTAGGTTTTGGGAAAACTAGAATATTTACAAAAGCAAACGAAAAATACTTCGTAACGACTTATAAGTTGGTGAATCAAATTGGGGTTCATAAAGCGAGGGTTTCTTGAGTTCTTTTAATTATTTTACAGTGCGGTTTATGTACGTTTAATCTCAAACCAGCCAATAAATTGACATACAACACCATCGTTTAAACAATCAACATAGAAATTGAAAATTCAATACTGTAGTTGAGGAAAATATTACATTGAACATGTTGGCACCTATTGAACAACCTTGTCAACAACCATATCTGTGTTAACAGCTGATCAAAAAGGAGATTATTGGATTTATTAAGATTTTCCTTGAATACATCCTCGTATCTTCCTGTCGTTGTATGACAGACTACTTAACATCTATTAACAATCTCCCAATCCTAGTCGCATTATTGATATGGTATGTGTTCCGTCCACATTTAACTGTCATTAATTGCATCTACCAAATAGGCAAAAATCGGGTTTCATAGTGTCTACTCCACGGGAGACCTGGATGTCATGCATGTTAGATCGAAAATTTCGGATTTTTGACCAAAAACTCTCAAAGACGTTGCCCAGTTTAATTAAGGCATTTAATTTGTTCCCTATTTTGGTGAGAAGTCACCTAAAGTACAAGACTTATCACTTTTTTCGGAAAACAAAATGGGTAAATTTGTGTAGGCGGAACGGTTTCTATATTCCCTTCATAAGGCCTTTTCAGGACGAATCTGATGAAGAGACTTATGACTCAACAATGGGAGCATGGGGGAGATGGGGACATTAGGACATCACTTGCTGTTCCGATACCCTGTTAAGCTGTAGATAGATCCACACTGTTATACTGTAGCACAAAGAAGTACGGACAGAGGATACTTCCTTGGGACGACCGTAATTTTCAGCTGTAGTATGCTGTGCGTGCGCGTATGTAGTCGCTGTGGCAAATGTTCTTTATTAATTTAAAATATTGTTCTAAATAAAATCAATTTGTTTGTTGATACTATTCCAAAACAATGGCAAGGTAGGTATTTATCATTCATGGATGATAACGAATAAATAACAATAACGTATCATAACAAAATGAAATTATGTACGGAGCAGAAAGTATTGCGAATTCTAAATACTTCAAAATACTAAGAGTCTATGAGTTAAAACCCTCATTTACGAATATTCAAGTAAATTGGGAAATTATTTCGAAAACGTAGCTGAAGAATATACCTTTCTGTATTGACTATGATAATTTGGATTTTGTAAATCCCAGTAGTATTTAAATATAATGTTATCATTTGCTATGCTATACAAATATTTCAACGCGTAATTATTGTAAAAATAAATTAAAATTACAAAAAAAAACATAATAGTTTGATCTTTGATGTTGCATTATCACGGATCTACATAAATGGACAAATAAAAACTATTTAACATTTATTAGTGATCAGTATAAGGTTATTTTATTCACGACACATTATATAGTATTTTAGAAATACACTGATATTCTCATACACTGAAATAATCATAAATTTTTCTAAGATTGCCGAAATTATCCAGTTCTTTGCTGCCAACGTTTAATATTTGGAAACTGAAAGCAACATAAGTTACATAAGTTTTAGTTCAAAGCAGCAGGTAACTGGAATAAAATATCTTTTATAGCAATTTTAATTCATACCATTTTAATTTGATTAGATTTCAATGATTTGTATAAACAACCAAGATGAGTTAGAAACACATTAAATGTTTCAATTCAATATATAAATGTTCTAAATATATAACAGTTGTATTGTACACTGTCAAATACTTGATGTCGCCATCTGAACGTGGAATATCCAGTAGTAAACGTCAGAGTCGGAGCGCATGACTCGATGGTGTTAATGAATTCATTCAGATTTTTGCACCACTTTCATTTGACGGCCACCACTCCACACTCGTTTGCTCACGACCTTTTCAAACTTCCACCAACTTTTCTGAATACGAATCACGATGGGGAAATTCCAACGGAAAGTTAATTTGTTTTTTTTCATGTGTTGGCTCTTGATTTTATTATGTATTTATAGATTTAATAATAAATTATCCACGATTGTAAAAACTAAGTGTGATTTCAGTAGTGCAATTATAGACGATTGATACAATATAATTGGGCTTTATACGTCCTCCAATAGTCACAAATTAAATATTTTTTACGGTTTATTATTTTTAATGTGTTATAGGCCTATTGGAATGTAAACCTAGTAAATCTTAAACAATCAGGATGCATATATTGATTATTGTTATGTAGTGATTGCAATATTCGTAGAATAATTTCGGAATTTTCAAATAAAAATAATATTAATTTGTCAATATCAGGCATACGAAAATAACGAAAATATATGAACAAGGAATTAACATGGTTGGATAAATATTTGTAAATAACAGTAATATTCGTGTTAAAATTATAAATTAAATACCTCATACATGTACATAGCATTTCTATTACAATCACTACGGTAAAACTTACTCAGTGAAAGAAGAATAAAAGTTATCAGCACACTACACCTCCACGTTGTTTTTATAACCTCACTACGATCTTGTGGGATGAAAAACCCCCAAAATAATCCATCGAAGCCGGAACTTGTGCTGCGAGTATATACGTAATAATCAGAAATGGAAGGGCCTATCGTTCCAGATGGGAGGATCAATAGAGATGTTATATTGTTAGTGTCGTCGGTGGGGAGCGGGGGGGCGGGCGCGCCATATCTGATATCATATACTGTACCGCGCACTAACCACTAAGTTACAGTGTAGACATACCATAGATGCATACTAGATAACTTACCGTGTTGTGGTGGAGAATAAGGTTATGTCCCGGTCACTATCACACACACACCCGTGGTCGTGTCGTGTGCCGTGTCGGTTGTCACCGTGTCCGTGTCGTAGTCGTGCTCGTACCGTCGCACGCGTCCGCGTCCCCGTCTCCACTGTGCTTCTGCTAGCGTCGACCGTCGACACCGCGCTCTCACCCCCTCTGCCCCCACCCTCTGATATCGATCCCTGACGTCACTGCGAGGGTGAGGGGGGTGGGGAATAGAGAAGTGCAAACACGATATGAAATTCAATTTTATTGCTTTTTTGTAGTTTCTCCCCCAAGCTGCGCGCGGGCGCCCCTCTCCCACCCCTGATATCTAAACATCCCCACCTCCATCCCCGCCACAGCTTTTCCAATTTATTGCGTTTCGCGGATCTATGCGCGCACCATCTTACACAGTAATAATTACGAGTTATTTTTCTCGTTTTCCTCTCTCTAATTATGATTTGCCTCTTTCGGATGAAAATATTCTCGATGTTATTCCTCTGGCTTTATAGTTCGTCGACCATTTATTACAAACACCGATATTACCAATAGTGACTTTGATGGGTTATAAGAATTTGTAGAAGGCAACACGTTTTACCGGTATAAACTGTATGTGAACAATTCACTTATTATAATTTCTTTACGTCTTCTCTTTCCCTTCAACCACAATTACTTTTTTATGTGTGAATAAAGTTAATCTAAATATGCTCAACTTCATATGGGAACGTTACCAAACTCATATTTCTAAAACCTAAGTAAAATATTTAGTTACATACTATATTCACAAACCAATGATTTGTTTTTCAAAATTATAAAATTTGATGTATTTCAGTTGCACAGTACAGTATTAAGTTATACGACTGAGAATCTAAACTTATTTAATACGCAAGCAGGTTTTTTTGACAATTACTCCTCCGAAACCACTGAACCGATTGACATGTTTTTGGTGTCATTGGAAAGAGCGTAATGTGAAGTCGTGCAGGAAACTTTTTTTAAGGGAAATAGAGAGTGAGGCCCTGGGGCACTTTAAAGTTTCGTGTTTCTCCATAAGATAAACATGGGAAACAAGCATTGTAATAAAACCCCAGCTGTTGTCAGAAATTAAAAGTGAGAAGAAGAACATATGTTAATTGTAAACAGTCAATCATTTTGCTAATTTAATAGTTTGCTACACACATTTACTGACTCGGTTGGAATGAAATATTTACTATTATTTGAATTTGGGTTGGCGTAACTATTACAATGGATAAAAGTGAGAGAGCCTGGATAATTTGATATAATAAAAAAAGACAACTGAATTAACACTGTGCTACATTTCTTAGTAATCATTGAAAGAGCCGATTTGCAAACTATGGAAACATAGAAAAGTCATAGACCACCAAGGAGAAGAAATAGAGATAATGGTTTTTTTTTATTTATTGTGAAATCTACTAAAAACTACTAAGGAAATATGGCGACATCTAGATACACACCTTGCTAGACTAGTGAAGATCATCTTAACGGAAAACTCGTTGACCAATCGGCAGCCAATCATAGAGCTCCACGCCGATGTAGACAGTGCAGCCACCCAGTAACTTAATACGCTTCCGGTTACTAACAATCTAATATTGCACTATTGCACTATATTACACTCGCCACCATTTGGATTAGGCCCACACTACTGCTGTAAGACCACAAATAACAAACTCTTCAAAACATAAAACTTTCTCTTCATAATTTTTTTCTTCATTTTTATTTATTTAACCCTGATTTCAACTTAAAAATTCTTCTCATAAAAACTAAAATAAACTCTTCTTACTTCTACCTGAATAGCTTAAAAGTCTAGCTTATCAGGCTTTTGTATTGTCCTTTTGGACCTCCTAAGATTTGGCGGGCTGCACTGCACTACCGCAGGTGGGTCTTCATGTCTTGGCTGAACCGCTGCAGTCTCAGGGTCCTTCAATGGAGATTGCCGCCTGGGCGAAACTTGCTGTCTCTCCTTGTCCTCTGAAGTTTCCCCTCGCTCAGGAAGTACGGGTTTCATGGGAGACCTTGCCTCACAACTTGGCACTGCTATTCCTTCCTCTTCCATGTTAACTCTAGACCTAAGGTGGTCAGCATGGCAACGCCTCACCTTTCCCAATACACTAACAAAATATTTTACAGGACTTTTTATCTCCAGAATTTTTCCAGGTACCCAATCAATCTTCTCCTGCCTGACAGTTTTGACGAACACATTCTCTCCGACTTTAAAGAATATTGGCCTTGCCCTATGCCTCTTCTGTCTGTCCAGGTTTGTGTCAATACGAGCTTGAAGGTTATGTTTGAGTAGTGCAAGCCTAGTTTTAGGTATCCAGTTGAGAAACAATTCTGCCGGAACGTCAGGGTACCAAAACCGCCTTCACTAAACACCTGTCTCAATAGGTTCTTCTTCACTTCTTGAACGCACCGCTCAGCAGCACCATTTGACGCAGGATGATAAGGAGGCGATAAGACTAACCTTACTCCATTCTTTTTTAAGAATTCTCTAAACTCAAAACTTGTAAAAGAAGGGCCATTATCTGATACTAGAGTGTCCGGATAAGCCCATACGATTCAAAACGTGAACGAAGACGCTCAATTGTCTTGAGAGAATTAGTAGATTTAATGACAAACACCTCTATCCACTTGGAAAAACTGTCTACTAGTACTAACATTTGTTGCCTAGAATTAGTATCTTCAGCGAAATCTATGTGCACCCGTTGCCATCTGCCATACACACGGGGTCACTGTTGGAGAGTGACTTTTGGAGCTGCATTCCTCGTACACTGACAAATATAACAAGAAGACACTGTTTCTTCAATACCTTGTTCTATACCGGGCCACCACACATAGCTACGTGATAACAGCTTCATCCGTGTAATGCCTGGATGTTGATCATGAAGCAATTCTAAAATTTGGTTCCTCAATTTTATCGGAATGACCACACGGCCCCCCCACAGAAGAAAATTACTATGCACAGAAAGTGCATCTTTTCTTTTTACATAAGACAATAACTCTTTGTCCACAGCGCCATGCCAGCCGTGCCAAACATAATTTCTTACTTTAGATAATATAGGATCAGTACCAGTGATAGATCATTTAGCAATTTCCTTAGAAGTGAAAGGTGATTCGGTACTCACCGTGCTGAAGCAATTTAGTACCTCCACGCATTCCTGTGTGTGCGAGATAAAGTTCTTTTCCAGTTCCAGCGAATCACTTGCCGGTAATGGCAACCGGGATAAGGCATCGGCATGTGGCACATCAGGCGCCTTGCGATATCTCACTTCGAAGTCATACGAAGCCAAAATCAGGCCCACCTCTGTAGGCGCGCTGCGGCTAGGCTTGGAGTTCCTCGCTTTGAGCCAAAGATAGTAGCCAACGGCTGGAAGTCACTACCCTAACCTTTTTGGAGAATAATGTGCTTCCAACACCTTTAACAGATCCTTATAATTTTTGGAATCTACCGAATCTGGTGATACTAAGTCCGTGAGAACAGCCAGGGCTTTTGGTCCGATTACAGTAATCAAAATGGATAACTCCGATCCTTCCTTTACGCTGTTGGCCTTCAAGTCAAGTTGTCCTTCAAGTTCAGTTGTTGGCCTTCAAGTTGTTTTAACCCCATTAAATACGACGATATATCCTCTTCATGAGGGTTAAACTCTCCCATACTCCCTATCAAACGGGACGTCATGGTTCTTCAAATACAATTTTCAACACTTCGCACTCGCGAAAAAGAGTTAAACATAATTAACTTTACATCGACTGCGCCATTGTGACATCTACTAAAAACTACGAAGGAAACATGGCAACATCTAGATACACACCTTGCTAGACTAGAAGTGAAGATCATATTCACGGAAAACTCGTTGACCGATCGGCAGTCAATCAGCTCCACGCCGATGTAGACTGTGCAGCCACCCAGTAACTTAGTACGCTTCCGGTTACTAACAATCTAATATTGCACTATTGCACTATATTACATTTTTAATCGTTATTATGGACAACTTAATGCGGCTATGAGTAAGGCTATTTGTAGAAAACACTAAAAAAACAAGATCAGCTATTGAAAAATGATAAGATATTTGCAAGAAATGTTGATTATATCGATCAGTTATGCACATCTTGAGTATTTCCATAATCTTTGAGTCGAATCTTGTCATTTATTACTGTTATTCATTTTAAAATAACGTCTTTAATATTCAGCAATTGCTCGAATTCGAACAACATGTACACTAGTAAAATAAAATACCCCTACGTAGAAAACGTGCTGACTAAGTGAATTTCAAATTTATCTTGTTTGACTTTTATTAAAATATTGCCTGAAGATTTATTTACATATTTAAATAGCATTAATTTAAATTACTACTTAGTTTGCTGTAACAGGGCAGATGATTAAGTGCGTTTTTATTGAAATATTAATAGCTTAGTATGATATGAACAAATTCACAATATTTTATTGAAATAGATCCGTAAACAAGCAAACTACAACAGTTTACTTTATCTCCATAGGATAACATAATAATTTAAATATTTACATTTTTTTAGGGAGCATTTTTTTATTTACAACAATTAGGGAGCAACGTTTCATTTTTTTTATTCCCTATTTTAATAACATTGGATTGAACGAGAGCTTAGGTTTGCTGCTACAGGGAAGGTAAAAAGTGTTTTTAATAAACGTTTTACTAGATGAAATAAATAAATTTGAAAAATTTGATCAACATATTTAAAAATATCCATAAACAAGTTACCATTTTCTCCATAAAATAAAATGGGAATTTTAAAATTTCCATTTTTTTATTTTCTCTTTAACCGTCAGGCATACAAGCACGCGTCAACATGGTTTAGAAAGAAATTGTGAAATTTTATGTTTTTAGGGTAAAAAATGCGAAACCCAAATTTTGCCCCATAAACCCCCCCACAACCCCCCGTTTTCATATTCCGATCATGCTGTTTCACGAACTCGTTATTAGGTAGCAGCAAACCTAAGTACTCATTAAAAATAATGTTACTTATATTAGTAATAAATTTTATATTTTAAAGACCTATTTTAATGACAAGCGAATCAGGTAAATCCACTTAGTCTGCAGGTTTGCTGCGACGTGGCTATTTTAATTACAACGAACATGTTTTTAATGGACTCTCCATATAGGGTTTAGTGGAAAATGTCCGAACTTGAAGACTTTAGCTCAAACCGTTCTCTCGTTATAAGCGAAATTGTGGTTTATAATTCCCTCGTTATAAGCTAAATAATCATTGTTTAGTTCTCGCACAAAAATCTTTTATCACACTAAGAATAAATACACCCGGCTAGACATACACTGTAAAAGGCCACTTCCATTAGAATCAGTCATTAGAATTGATTCTAATGGTTGTGGCCTTTCTTTTACCGAAATTTTGGGTTCTTTATAGATAGTACTTCATTGAGTACATAAAGTACAGAGTAGACAGAACTATTTCATGTAGCTAATTCTTTTGCCGAGATAAGCCTAAGTCTGGCCTAAATCTCTAGTGATTGGGCAGGAAGTAGTATAGTTGCCAGGGATCAGACGCTGCAAAGCAGCATATACACACTTACATCTACACATATATACACGACACCATACCTCGGTGGCTACATAGTACTCCATTGTTACTCATTTCTCTAAATTTGGAATCTACCCCAGCCGTTGATCTCAGGAAAATTCCCCAACAATCTATATCTTGTTGACATTTTTTTTTTTAAGAAGTCCGGGATTGAAATCGTTGTTCCTAAACTATCAAATATAGAAAAAAAACTGTATAGGCCTATGCATATTTTGTTGTAATTTATGATAATTTCATGTCATTAAATCGATTTTCAAGGCTAGGGTGACGTCCCACCCAAGAGACGGCCAATATTCTTTAACATAAGTTAATGTCGAGTTTGGTATCAAATTAGAGGTATATTTCATCAGAATTAAGTGCCACAAACCCGACTTTCAAAGGTTGTACCTATCCTGAGAAATTGGACTTTGAAGTGTACGAAATTGTATAAAATATACCCCTGCCGCAGCAAACCTGACGCCTAAGCGAATTTCCATTTGGCTGAATTGATTTTCAATTGATCTATTTAAATAACATTAGGTTTAACGAGTACCTAGGTTTGCTGCTACAAGGAACTAATAAAGTGAGTGTTTTAAGTAAAATAATTATTGCTTAGTATAAAATGAATATATTTGCCAAGTTTGATCAAAAGATATCCATAAACAAGCAAACTACAACATTTTACAATATTCTCCATAAGAATAACATGGGAATTTTAAATTTACCATTTTTTTAGTTTTCTCCGTAACCAATAACCGTACAAAAAACACTTTGATATACTGAATTGTTTGTTTTTTTAAGCTCTTTAAGAAGGTTTAGAGAAAAATTGGGAAATTTTGTGTTTTGAGGGCAACAAGTGAGAAAAACCAATTTTTACCCCATAAAACCCCCCATAAAACCCTGTTTCCATGGTCCGATCATGCTGGATCGCGAACTCATTCAAGTTTATCCCGCCTTACACCTTCAAACCAAATTTCATCAAAATCGGATAAAAATTACTCAAGTTATCGTGTTCACGGACACATATATATATATATATATATATATATATATATATATATATATATATATATATATATATATATACATATATAAAAATTTGAACGAGTGGTGTTTTTGGCCTCTGGGGACATCAAAATGAAAAAGTAAATCGGTCCCGGGCCTAAGTCTTACCATGAGACCTACGGTAATAGCTACTTCCCTATAGGGAAATTCGCTAAAAATAAGTAAACTTCTGCACCATCTAACAATAAAAGCATCATAGTCTCCGAATCCAGTCTGAATGTTGATGTGATAAAAAATTCTATTAATATTGTGGAAAGCCATATGGAGGCCTAGCTTCTGAAATCGTTTTCAAAATGGCAAACTTTTTTTAGTAATTATTCAAATAAAATAAATTATTTAGTCAGTATGCCTTCAAAATGAAAACTTCAAATTTTGTTGTCGCTAACTTATGGTTTCCTCAGGTAGACTAAAACATGGCCTAATATTCCTATTAAAAATTTAAAACTAATTTTATTTGAACAAATCGTTAGATGTTAGTCTCTACAAATCCCAAAAGTCTCTACAAGTATTGAAGTGGCAATAAGTTAGTCCTACTGTATAACCATTCTTGGTGTAGTAGCTTTATTTTGTAAAATTTAAGCACAGTCTGTCTAGTAGTTTTTACTATGTTGAATAACACACATATATACAGACACCACTATATTGTTATATAATAGTGTAGATTATAAAATTAACAAAGGAAATACATAAAGTTCATCTATTTCCACATTCATCGCACTTACAATACGATAAATGCAACCAAAAACATTATGTTTGTATATTTTTAGTTTTAGACATGTTGCGGTATGTTGCAATTTTTCACTAAATTAACAACCTAGATTACAATTTTGTCTATTTTACCATACCTTAAAATCTACTAAAATATGTTATTGCGTATTTAAATACTTTCATTCATTGATACAGAGCAGCAATACTCTCATTGATGTTCATAGCCTAGCGCGTGTGAAGACGGACGCAGAGGGGGTGTGATTGCGGCGTTGCCAGTTCGAACGTCGCGGCCTTGTATTAGAGGTGGCTGTGCATTAGTTCACCTACTTTACCAAAACCATAGACTCCGTAGTTAGTCTATTCCAAAACTTGAACACAGCTCTCATCCTCAACGTACTCATCTATGACACAATTTTCAACCCAAAATTTTCTAAGAACAATAAAGCATTGATTTTTGAACAAAACATTTAAAACATATCATAAATTCATCATTTTGGTGAAACTATAAAAAACTTGTCATGCAGTGGAGAATCCATTTAAAATCATAAATAATAATGTAAACATTTAATTTTGACAGTTTCAGTAGACCTTTGAATACAATTTTAATATTAACAGCTGGTTCATTAAAAGTAGTGTAAAATTATCCATATGGTCGAAATGTAAACAACATTGCAGAGTGAACTTTAAAGGCCTCTGGGGCGGAGCCCCAAGGAAATTTACCTCGTTTCTCTTTTGAGGGCTCACCTACAGACCAATACCTTTTTTTAGACACCCCTACCAAGTTTCTACGCCCATCCGTTCTCTCAAATTAGCTGTGACAAAAACCTCGTTTTCCTCCATAAGAATAACATGGTATGGGAATTTAAAGGCCACTGGGGCAGAGCCCCGAGGGAATTCTCCTTGTTTCTCTTTTGATGGCTCATCTACAGACCAGGACCTTTCTTTAGACACCTCTACCGAGTTTCTACGCCCAGCCGTTCTCTCAAAATAGCTGTCACAAAGAAAAACAGTTTCAAATTAATATATAGATATTTTTTTCTTCTTCGACTTTAACGAATTTAGGGCGTATTTACGTGAATCAAAACAAAATTTAGTTTTTATCTTAAATAAGGTGTTAATATAGCTTTCTAATTATCACGTCTAATAACACTTGAACTTGAAATATATATTTACACTATACCGGTACTCTGTTTTTAACAAGACAGTAAATGCACACAAAATATGGTAGTGGTGATTGATTTTGATCAGAGTAACATCTTTTATAAAGGGTGTCCCCCTAAGTAAACAGCCAAACCCCGGGAAATGGGCCAAAATGATTATTAGTATTATGGGTCAAAATAGTATAGTCCATTAGTCCAAGTACAGTACTGTGCTTCTATACTCAACTCCCAGGTTTCTGCACATGTCAATTGTAGCTTTCATCCAATTTGTTGGAGTTTGTGACAGTATGAAAGGAAAGTCTGTAAGTAAAGTAATAAAACTAAAAGTAAAGTAATAATAACTGTAGTAAAGTAATAAGTAGGTAGTAGTTGGTAACAGATTGTATAGCCAGCCAAGAAAAAAGAAGGCAAAAGAGGGAGTGTCTTCAAATAAAAATGAAAATTTATTTCTGATAAATTCACAGTCATACAAGACAACTAGAGGATTGGTTACACATAATAACAATCTACAAATGTACAATAGTTTCTATTAAAGATATTTGCATTGTATATGTATTGTATAATTTGTTAAATTGTTTAATTCTATAAGCTTATAAATCATAGGGCAACTGGGTCTCAATTTCTGATTTAAAAAATGATTTGCACATGAAATAAAAGTTGTACATATTTGACAACTAGATAAATTACAAAATTACAATCGAGCATCGTTCCGAATGACTAAACAAGTACGCTTTACATCGGTCTAATACGAGTTAGGTTTTTAACCACCAAGTTTAACAAGGATCTTGCCCAAGACTTTGTGCTCCTTCAGCATTTTGACTGCTTCATTGACATCCTTCAGTTCGAATATGTGTGGAACGTCAGGACTAATGAGATTCTGTTCACAAAGTTCAATGACATCACTCACCGCTTGCCTGAAAAATATATAAACTGTGTTATTATGACAGGTTAAATACAAAGTATACACTAGGGTTAGGGGTAACTTGTGATCAACTAAAAAACAGTAATATGATGAACAAAAACTCTAATTAGAATTCCCAAGTGGATAGCTTGCACGTACACATGGAGACAAATCTCTTACAGAACCCTATTAAAAAAAGCTTTTTAGAAATAAGGTACCTAATCCTTTAATGGAATCAACTTTTAATCAAAAGCTGAACACAATTCTCTTTAACTGAATTCCTCCTTTCCATATCTCAACTTGAGTGGTTATAGTTACAGCCTTCAATCAAACATGATGGTCGCTGGTTCAATTCCAAGTGAGATCGTTTGTCAAAGGGCTATCATCAATAAATGATGCTATCTGACAAAAGGTCGATGATAGATAGTAACAAGACAGGGGTTTCAACTTTTATTTTACAAAAATCTTTAACAATGCCAAATTACTGTATTAGACAAAAAAACAGTACAAAAAACTGTATGGACAAAAAACCCAAATAAATAAAACTACGGTAATAGGACTCATGGCAAGACCTGGACCCGGCACCGATTTAATTTTTCATTTTGAGGTCCCTAGAGGCCAAAAACACCATCCGTTCAAATTCATATATATTCCCTGTATGGGAAATTCGCTAAAAACAGTACAAAAAACTGAATAGACAATAAAAACCAAATAAATAAAAATTCCCTTCAAAAAGTCATACGGCATGGGCTAAGGTATTAACTAACACCCACACTTCTAAGGTTTCCTCTAGGTAACATGTCCTCTCCGACAGAGGTTTGAGTACTAGGAATTCATTGTTAACTAAAACCTTAACCTTTAGTGGCCTTGAATACAGATAATATTGATTCAATAAGGATATCAACTCTCAAAAGACCAATGAAAACATGAGAACTTTTATGTAAAGAATGCAATTTACTACTGTTTTTATACAAAATTACCTGTACACTGGATAATCACGATCCCTGTAGTGGTGCAGTGAGAGAGCCGTCATGTTGAAAGTATGCGGCATATTGAACCACTCGGCTGGTTTTATCACATCTTCAGGACCAGGTATATCTGCTAAGATGACTAGACCTTCATGTTTAACACTGAAATTAGAAAATGGCAAGCATGTGAAACGTAAGGTAAAAGTGACCCCTTTGGGACACCCCTATGTATAAAGGTGGTTTCAAGTATGTAAACATTTCAAGTCTAAATTACTTGCAGAATGATACAATAGATTGTTTTTACAAAAAGCTACAGAAAAAATAGTGATTACTATATTTTTTCAGTGTAGTGGGTAAAAAAAGCTTTAAAATGACACCTCATTTATGAAAATTGGTAGAGAAATTAGAAAGTTATGGCGAACGACAAAAAAAAACACTTTTAAATTTAATATACCGGTATATAAGATTTTGACTCTGAAGCCTCAAAGCACTTGTTGAAACTCGTCAACTTACCACTGCATGGCTCCTGCTAGAAAGTTCCCTCCCACAGTCTCATAGACGATGTCGACCCCTTTGTCGCCAACAATATCACGAACCGCTGCTTTCAGACTTTTGGCATCCATCTTGATGGCACTCCAAGCACCCCTTTCCCTCATAAAATCTGCCATTTCAGACGAGTCACAGACGCCAACAACCTCAAAAATTTTTAAGTACTGACTACTAAACCTTTTTTTAAAATACACAAGTTATATGTCCAAACTACTTTTAGGTTAAAAGATTATGCATTATTTAACTTTCGGTAGGGCATTTAGCAGGCTTTCCTGATGAGAGAATTTTAGATTTAGATAACAAATTTCATCCCGGTTGAAAGAAACTTTACTATACATTATACACCACAACTTTTCAGGAAGAAGGGCCTATTTACACAGTGCCCTTTCAGTTTCAATAAAAGAAACTATTTTTCAAGATAATTCAGACGGAACATTTTATTTCCTTAATACACAGTTCTACCATGTTTTGCTTTCTTTTGCTATTTATTACCAATGAATACAGATCTTATAAGAAACTAAATGGCCATGTTTAAAATTCAGCCTGAGATTTTAGAATTTTGGCAAGTCCCCACTGCAACCTCTCAGTAGGAAAGGCGCTGTTATCAGGACCCCAAAGCAATGTGAGTGACAGACAAAGTGAGAGAGTACGAGAGACAGAGAATTGGCGTAGAGAGAGAGGATAGCGCTTACCTAGGGGCGGCGGCGCAAAGCTATTACGGCGACAAAATCCAGTCTGACTATTCCCCATAAACATACATTGTAGGTAAGGTTTGAATTCATTGTTATTACTGTGACAGTGAGTGCAACTCAATTCCTTTAACGCTTAAAACATCGAAACAGGACCACATACATGAGTCTAGTTTATATCCATTTTAAAATTCAAGACTAATTCCAGACTTTTCAAAGAATAATTCCAATTTTTCAAGACTAGTTTTTTTCAACAGTTAGTGATGTGCAGATACCAAAATGTATCGATTCTCGGTTCTTGATACCGATTTTTATAGTTATACCAAATTTTCTAAATAATTTGGTGATACTACACCAACCACTGTCTTTAAGTCAAAAGAAAATGCAGCAATGAAAAATTCTAACTGGCCAATTTGGGTTTAAACCCTTCTCAACACAGTAAATAACTACCATATCAAAGGTAAACTAAGATCTAAAGACGACTCTGTAGACATCATCATCGTCTCCCGTGGTCACGAAAATATAATCGTCGTCTAGCGCAATCGCGGCGAAATTCTGTTTATCTCCCACAGCCGTAAGTATAGACATCATTGTCGTCTCCTTCTGTCACGAAAATGCTATCGCCTTCTAGCTTGATGGCGGCAAAATCATGAATATATCCCACGGTTACAAAAACGTGGTTGTCATATAGCGCGATCGCGGCAAAATTCTGTTTATCTACTGCGGTTGTGTAGACTTCATCATTGTCTCCAGCAGTCACGGAAACGTGATCATTGCCTTGCGCGATCGCAGAAAATCATGAAAATTCCTGACTTTGATATCAAAATAAAGGCTAAATCCCGACTTTTCAAGTTTATTTTGAAATTCAATACTAATTCTCGACTTTCCTATTTTTCTTGACTACTAGACATAACTTGAGCATAACTGCAGCTTGTGAAGAGGTTTTAATATAAATGGTAGTTTAAATGTAATCTTAACAACTAGGGTCTAAATCAAGGGAGCCCTTGCCAAAAAGCACTGAGGAGAGCCTACTTTTTTATTTATAAATGAGAAAGAGTTTAAATTTAAACCTACCTAGAAACCAAAAAAAAAGGTTTCTTAACAGTTTATTACCTTTGCTTTGTAAACATTAGCAGCAATGTCTAAAGCTGCTAATCCTCTTCCACCGGTGTCCGCTGTGATGACTAGGACCTTGTCTTTCTTGATTTTTGCTCTCCGGAACAAACTCAACAGGGCATGACCATAGTTGATTATCAGACCAGCAGCTTTTTCAGATTCTATTGCTTTAAACTTCCAGACGTCCTAAAACAGAAAATTGTCTCCTAATTTAATTTGTCTATCCTTCCTGAAGGTAGGGCCTACCTATTTAAAATTTGAGGATGAGAAAGGTTTTTTAGTTTTTGGATTCATGAGATTTATAGATTCGTGATATTTGAACAACAACAAACAGTTTTGATTTTTTTTGTGGTTGTTGATATTTGGATTGAGAGCGATCACTTGAAAGATATAGGCCCTAGGTTAGTGATAATTCTATCTATCTCACACTTAAAAAGAAATTTAAATTAAAAATCAATAAATGACAATATATCTATAAAGTAAAGTACCTACCAAAGATCTGATAAAAACAGTAGCCTACAGTAATTAGGTAAATCAGTCTCATTAACTCTCATGTCACTCAAGAGACTAATAAGAAGAGCTTCTTACCATCTGGCCTTTTCAGAAGTTATATTTTTCTTTCTAAAATATGATATACAGAATATTGCCTATACAAATTACACTACAGCTTATTTAAAATACCAACCTGAATTGGGGCAACACAGTGGCTTCTTAATCCACCAAGCCATGATTTACTGAGAGCAACAACTTTATCACCGACTACAATAGAATCATCATCGTCATCATCTTTTGTTGACTCTTTTCCATCTCCTTTAGCTATCTCTATAACTTCGCCAGAAACTTCATACCCAGGCACAAAAGGTGTTTTAGCAGGTATAGCTCCCTTTATCAACAGCAAATCTCGAGGGTTTAAAGCACAATAGTGTACTTTGATTCTAATCTGAAATAAAGAAACTTGTGTTTGATTAGGTTTACATTCCAAACATGGGTGCCCGTAAGGGGGTGCATAGGGGTGTATTTGCACCTCCTGGCTAAAAAATTAGGAAATAAATTTAATAGGCTAGACCTGAAATATTCAATTATTATTTGTATTTAATTAGAAATAGTAACGCGGTTACCGAACCTTGCTTGGCTGTGTTGGTGTTAATTATTGGGTTTAATCGTTTAGACAATATCATAAACTTTACAGACATTTTATAATTTACAATAAAAACTTTTTTATCACAAAGCAAAGTTAATTTGATCGCTGAAATAATAGCATCTCTGTGATGTAAAAGTATGCAACCAAACAAAACAGCCATTTTTTGATTTTTCGCTACTACCTATTTCTAAAAAAATTGAGATTCTGACTGTTTTTTCTTTTTTCATAAGGATTTAGCATAGCCTACGGCAATAGCTTTATGCCATTAAAGCCCCCAGATATAATTAGTTTACTTGAAATGCCTCAATATTTCAGGGATTAAGTTTTAGTGGGATAGGCCTAGGGCTTTTTTAAATGATTAAGGCCTACCTACTTGATCGGAACTATTTTCCCTTATATCGAGTAATCTTTAGTGTAATCTTTGCTCAATAGTTACAACTGGTGTTTTTCTCTTTACCTTTAAGTTTTACTGTATTTTTAAATTTGCTAGTATCCTTGGATGGCTTGTTATAAACACATGTACAAATCTTTTGTTTACTTTTTCCTTTTTTTCCTACAGTTACATGACAAAGTGGGGTTTCTTGTACTGATTATAGCACGCAAAGTAAGTTAGCTAATTGCTGCGTTCACTTTTTTTACCGCACTCATCTTTTTGCCGCACTACAGTATTTCAACCAAACAACAAAAAACTGTAGGGAGTGCACGTAATGGGTAATGGGTAGTGTAAACATATTGGGCACGTAATACGTGTACGCTTGAAAATAGGATGGCAATACTTAAAAATATTAACTTATGACTACAATCAGCTGTTGCAGTTTTTCTCATTTTGTTCAACGCTTGGATTTAACCTAACCGAAAACTTGTTGTTTAGGGTTTGAAAGACTAATTATTTCTATGCTTTATAATAACTTTAGGAAAAATACTACTAAAATCTATAAATTCCTGGAACAAATTTCTGTAAACCTAGACATGTTGGGCGATTGCCAGCAGGAAATATGCCTTGCAGTAGTTAGGCCTTCAGTAGTACGACTTCTGGGGAGGGCATATTTATCAGTGGTGGGAGTAAAGCTGACGAGCTGTATAGTGCAGTATTGGTAAGACCTTTTTGTGTACCTGCTAGTCTACTTTGTCGGTTACTATTTCTATAAGTTAGGCCTATTGATTTCCTATAACAATGATGGAAAAATCAATAAGTTACAACTTGTGACATCTCAGCTGGCAGTTGGCCTAGCGCAGGCAGTGTAGGCGGGAGGAGGGTGGAGGTAGGGAAAAGACCAGACTGCAAACATTTCCGCTGCCTCAAGGGGTTGACTCCCCTTGAATTATGTAACACGAGCGCCTTCATATGGGTCGCGAGGACAGTTGATGCAACCCGCATGACGGGACATAATGTTTTTGAACTAGATACTAGTGGCGATCGGCCAAGTGCCAGCTTAGATGTCACGAGCTGCAACTTACATAACATACTGTATATAGAATGACATACTATCATTGATATTGGGTACACTTCCATATCTGTTGGCACAAACAACCGAATGAAAATATCGATCGATAACCTAACTATCCAAACGATATATCGAATTAAACAATTGAATAATCAATAGGCCTATTACTCATTTGGTTACGGTATTTGTGCCAACAGATATGGATGTGTACCCTCGATATTTATACATTATGATATTATAAATTAACTACTAGCTGATTATCAAACTAAGTAAATGTGGGGCGTTGGGCACTAAAGTGTAGCCTAAACCAATAAGACTAGGCTATGTATGAATAGTATTAAAAATATAACCTCTCCTTTGTTTAACTTTTCTTCTTTATAATCCTCAATTTTTAGAGGCTCGTCCACTTTGTTGCAGAAAGCCGCTTTTGTAGATGCTTCACGAAAACTTGGGTGTAAATAAGGTACAAATGCTTTATAATTTAGGCTCGATGCAAACTTTCTTGAACCACTTTGATTCGAGTAAGAACAACAACGAATAAGTAAGCTGGGAATCATAACGTAATTCCGCATTTTTAACAATAAAAAAGTTTACTTGTCACTTGAGTGAGACACTACTACTAACTTTAACCTACATACCGGATAAACATAATTTTTGAAAACAAAAACAAATTTGAGATTTGAGGCTATGTTATGTTATTGTTATTGTATGCAGTGTTGCCACCAACTCTGAGGCAAAAGTCCCTAGATCTAGGACGATGGAGTCGGAACTCGGATTGCCGAAAAATCAAGATTATAACTGAATTATCAAATGCTATTTTTTCTTCATAAGAAATACATTGGGATTTTGATGGCCTATGGGGCAAAGCCGGAGTAAGGAAATGGTGAAAGGGGGCGTATACACAAAAAATACTTCATTTTGACAAATCATTTGTAAAAATCCGTCCATTTTTAACGGAGAACTGGTGTTTCGTAGAAATAGTCTTCACATAAAAGGGATACTTGTTGTTGTGTGTTTGAAAATGATGAAATGGAATATGACGCGACACTAGACTACAGACAACATGAACCACAAACACATACCTTTATTAGAAGAGCCCATATGAAAGAACTTAAGCTTGGAGAAACTAAAGAGTCACTGCATTATTTTCAGTTTTTCATGTACGATTTTTTGTCGGAGATACAAATATTGCTTTTCCTACAGTTACCTAACAATGTACATGTTCTCTCACTGATTTGAGAAAGCAAAGTGGCCAATTCGCTCATCAGTGAGACAATGTTAACATTGTCTCACTCTAATTACTTTGTCTCACTCCAGATTTGCAACGTGAAGGCGCGAAATAGTGAGCGCGTAACATGCAGGCAACGTCGTATGCGCGCGAAATACGTTGGCAGCACTGGCTGTAAATCAGCTGGTCAGCTGTTGTACTGTTGTATTTGTCACTTCACATTAAATGTTATGTTAAAAGTTCACTTCTGTGTAAAAATAGGTTATGTTTCTTCACCAATTTATTTGTTTTATGGTAACTGTAGGAAAAGTATAATGTGCAACTCGAGTTCAAAGTACAATTGCCTCACTCGAGAAACCATTCCTCGTGAGTAAGGATTTCTCTCGAGTGAGTCAATTGCTCACTTTTCTCACTAGTTGCACAAATAACTATTGTTCTAGATAGTTTTCATTTAGTTTTTAGCGAATTTCCCATATAGGGAATAAGCTATTACCGTAGGTCTCATAGTAAGACCTCCCAGACAGCACACTTTCTCCTCAGGACATCCCACGGATATTGCGACAGGATATGCAAGATATCCCATAGTCGTCCTATGGTCAACTTGGGATATCACAGGATATCCACAGGAATGCCTAATGTCCCCGCCCGGGGATGTCCTACGGATAAGCTCACACGCATATCCGTGGGACATCCGAGGTCATCCCAGGGTAGTCCTCAGGACATTCTCAGGACATATGGGACTACTATGGGATGTCCCTGGGATAAAGTGTGGTCTGGGCCTGAACATAAAAAACACAAAATAATATAGATTTAGTATGAAAAGCTTAATTATAAGTTTAGTAAATTGATTAAATAGTTAATAAACACAAATTTTGAAGAAAAAAACGAGAAAAAAGTTTTTGGCCCAGACGGGTTTTGAACCTGGTACCTTCGCCTTGTGAGCCTCTTACCTTACCTCCTGAGCTATCTGCGCTTGTTGAATATGGATGTTTTCAAGTGGTTAAAGAGTAGCCGACAGTTGCAATGGTCGCAATACTTAAAATATTGTTGATACTACAGTATAGGCTATATATGATTCTGTTAATCTGTTTAGGCCTCAAGTAGTTGAATTGTTTTTCTGGTAGTTGGAGAGGATAATGGTATTTGAATATAGATTATTTAATCACCATTAGATTAGCACTGTAATAATTGATTGTTATATGATTAAAATTAGTTTTTTGTTGTTTTATTAATTTAAAGTTAGAATTAAATTCACATTCCACACAACTATGATAGAACTCTAGTTTTCCTGAACTCAGTGGTTAGTAATATGTCAGTAAAGTAAAGTCAACCCTTGCTAGCCATAGTATTAACAAGACATATTTTCAATCTGGGAAACCTTAAACTTTTAAAATAAATTATAAAACCTCAACATCTTAATGCGTGGGAATCTTATTTTTAGAAAAAAAACAAAAAAACAGACCAAAATTATTTGTTAAATAATGAAGACGGCCCAATTATAAATTCGGAATTACTGAAAATAATTACATCAAGAACAACACTGTAACATATCCAAAATTCAAAAGATTAATTTTTCTAATATTATTTTTTATTTTTCCAATATCCTTTAAATTATCTGTTTTAACTTTGTTTAAAATTAATTTATTGAGTAAATATTTCCTTTTTGTACTAGTGTAAACACAGCCTGAAGATGGAAACCAAGTTTATGAAAGCACTAGGGAAAAAAACAAATTATTATATATTGGCCTTGTTGAACATTTAAATTTAGATATACTGTACATTTCATCAGTGGTAGTATTTTTTTTCTTCAGTTTGTTACCGGGACATTACGGGACATTACAGGATATCCAGTGGATTTTGTACATGTCCCGGGATGTCATGGGACATTCTGGGATATCCTATGGCATTCGTACATATCCTGGGACTTTACAGGATATCCTGAGGTTAACTTACAAATCCCGGGACATTACGGTATATTGTAGGATATCCTGTGGATTTCGTACTCGTCCCGGGATTTTGCGGGATATCCTGAGGATAGCGCACATATCCCGAGACATTCTCAGGACATATGGGACTACTATGGGATGTCCCTGGGATAAAGTGTGCTGTCTGGGCTGGACCCCGGGACCAATTTACTTTTTTGTTTTGAAATCCCCAGAGCCCAAAAACACCATCCGCTCAAATTCATGGACAAGGGAACGAGGGTTTATGGGGTAAAAATGGGCTTTTCCCATTTTCGCCCCAAAAACAAAAAAAAAATGCAATTTCTTTCCAAACCCATTTTGTATAGCTAAAAAAAAATTGTATAGTGAAGCGTTGTTGTATACCTAACAGTTAAAAAAATCCAAAAAGTGTAAATTAAAAAATATATGTGTATATGTATATATCTATATATGTGTATGTCAATTGATATGTGTATATGTTTTTTCATGTATGTCAATGTCACATGTATGCTGCGTAGCTGAGTGGCTATAGTCCTAGATATCAAAGGTTCGATCCTGAGTCAAGTCAGTAGCTTTTTGATAGTTCGAAACCAGCTTTTACTGATCATTGTGCTTTAACGATCGTGACTGATGAACCAGCTGATCTTAGTCAGTAACAATGCTCCACATAATCTCATCCCATACTCATTCTTCATTCATATTTGGGTTCACCTAGGTAGCGTCCCCATTTGAAATAATTGATGATTGATGCATGTAGAGTTTGATGAGGTTCTGAGGTTTAGTTTAGATTGTGTGAATTTTCAGTCATAAGATGACATGTAAAACTCTAAAAGGAGGGGTTTTAGCGAATTTCCCTATAGGGAAGTAGCTATTACCGTAGGTGGCACGGTAAGACCTAGACCCGGGACCGATTTACTTTTTCATTTTGATGTCCCCAGAGGCCAAAAACACCATTCGTTCAAATTTTTATATATGTATATATATATAGACTTATATATATATATACGTCCGTGAACGCGATAACTTGAGTAATTTTTGTCCGATTTTGATGAAATTTGGTTTAAAGGTGTAAAGCGGGATAAACTTGAATGAGTTCGCGAACCAGCACGATCGGACCATGGGAACGGGGCTTTACGGGGGGTTTTATGGGGTAAAAATTGGTTTTTCTCACTTTTGACCCTCAAAACACAAAATTTCCCAATTTCTCTTTAGACCTTTTTAAAGAGCTTAAAAAAACAAATAATTTAGTATATAAAAGTATTTTTGTTCAATTATTAGTAACGGAGAAAATTAAAAAAATTGTAAATTTAAAATTCCCATGTTATTCTTATGGAGAATATTGTCAAATGTTGTTGTTTGCTTGTTTATGGATATATTTTGATCAAACTTGGCAAATTTATTTATTTTGTACTAAGCTATCAATATTTTACTCAAAAACACACTTTATTAGTTTCCTTGTAGCAGCAAACCTAGGTACTCGTTAAACCTAATGTTATTAAAATATATTTATCTGAAAATCAATTCAGACAAATGGAAATTCGCTTAGTCGGCAGGTTTGCTGCGGCGGGGGTATTTTACCTTTCGACGGTCATAAAAAATTTCATAAAGAGCTAAAAGTTATTTGTTTTCATAGCAAAACGTTGAATAAAACAACGAACAATAATTTAATTTCCACATAGTTTTTCTAATTAATTTAGTTACTTTTATGTAGAGCTCCAAAATCGAGTGTGTCTACACTTTTCCCCCCACAGTATTTTAAAGCCCCTCGTTTGACACTGGCTAGTGTGGCGAGTCATGCTTTCAGCGGCATCTTGGTTGTGTGGTGGCGTCTCGGCTGATGACACTCCGCTGTACTAGCTTATAGAAGTTGAGTGTCTACTAGTGCTAGTGGTTAGGCCGGGTTCACACTATCCGTTTCACCACATCCGTCAAAAACGGGTGCGTTTGGGTGCGTTTTAACGGGAAGACTGTTGCGCGTCCACATTAGGGTGCGTTCACACTATCCGGTTGCGTTGTGCGGCGGTATTGAATCAACTAGAAATGTTTGACGTTGACAAGTTTATAGAAAATGTCCACGGCCAGCAATCACTGTGGGACAAGCAGGTAGAATCATATTCTGATAGATCTGCACGGGACAAGAGTGGTTAGAGATTGGCTCGATGAATCCAATGACTTCTGTTATTAGTTCTCAGTAAACCACTTGCTTCCATTACACACACAACTTTTATCTTAGACAGCATGACTTATTACCTTATAAAACCAAATTTACAGCAAGTAAGAAAATGTAACTGAACAGCCACGTCTACACTCTGACTTCACGACCGAGAATGGCGCGTGGGATTAACCAACCGGATGACAGGTACGGATAATGTGTACGCGCAACAGTCTTCCCGTTAAAACGCACCCAAACGCACCCGTTTTTGACGGATGCGGTGAAACGGATAGTGTGAACCCGGCCTTATCCGTACCTGTCATCCGGTTGGTTAATCCTACGCGCCATTCTCGGCCGTGAAGTCGGAGTGTAGACGTTGCTGTTCAGTTACATTTTCTTACTTGCTGTAAATTTGGTTTTAGAAGGTAATAGTCATGCTGTCTAAGATAAAAGTTGTGTGTGTAATGGAAGCAAGTGGTTTACTGAGAACCAATAATAGAAGTCATTGGATTCATCGAGCCAATCTCTAACCAACTCTTGTCCCGTGCAGATTATCAGAATATGATTCTGCCTGCTTGTCCCACAGTGATTGCTGGCCGTGGACATTTTCTATAAACTTGTCAACGTCAAACATTTCTAGTTGATTCAATACCACCGCACAACGCAACCGGATAGTGTGAACGCACCCACAAGACTGAATGTGTTTTTCGTCTTCGTCCGGTTGCATCGAACGTCCTGTCGTCCCGCCACGCGGCAGCATCATCCGGTTGACAGTGCGTTGCATTTTCTCGTCCGGTTTTGACCGGACAATGTGAACGCGCCAATTCGATACAATGTGTTGGCGTCTTCCGTCAAAAACGCTCCGGTTAAACGGGACCGTTGAAAACGGATAGTGTGAACCCAGCCTTAGGATATATTTATAAATTTATAATAAACTAGCTGTGTACCCGTTCTACGCACGGGGATCTTATAATATTCAGTTGAAACCTTCTTATATAACGAACAGCAGTTGGTTTGCATATTTTAAGATATGCTGGCCAAACTATTATACATAGCTTCATTTTATGTTGTTTTTTGTTGTTCCGGATCGGTATGACAATCAATAAAAGGTTAAATTACCTCTGTGTCTGCCGGTCGATCCTATAACGGTAGGCTTACTTTTATTTTTACTATCTGATCTCGTTTGCATGGCTCAATCACGTCCTGGTTGAAGTTCGTTCGCTACGCTCACTCACCTGTATGTTGGAGCTCGTTCGCTGCGCTCACTTTCCTTCAGGTTAGCTCGTTCGCTACGCTCACTTGCCTTCAGGTTAGCTCGTTCGCTACGCTCACTCGCCTCCAGGTTGCAAATTAGCTGTTGTCATAAATGTAAAAGAAATAATAGTGCTAGTGCTGCACCCTGTTGGTAATCCTTGTAACTTTAATGCTATTGAACATCACAGAACAGAACCAACTTGTTTAATTGAAACAGCTGTTAAGATTCAATAATTTCATTTCTCATAAGGTTAACATGGGCTTCCAGAAATTCCACGTCAAAAATCGACAAAAACTTGATTTTCAAGGGTTTACTGTTAAATATCTAACTGTCTCATATTCGATGAAATACGTCTAAAACCATCTCATATATGTATAGTATTTGGAAAATAAGTTTCAGGCGGGACAGTGCTATAGTTATTGAGGAGTAGTTGTAATAAAGTGCGTATTTTAGCGTTACCAAGAGAATGACAGATAGACAGACAGACAGACAGACAGACAGACAGAAATTGAGATAAGGTTTGATTCGGTTTCTCTGACCTATGAAATGTAAAAATAACCAAAAAGTTCATTATTCTAAGCAATGTACAGACAAAACTCTAATTTTATTTATATAGATTATTATAACAATAATTTAGGACTGGAACGTGTGGCGTCGTCCGGTAATCCAGCTACTAGGAGGTCATGAATTGTGGATATCTATAGGCATGCACTGTGGATGCGATACTCCCTGGTGTGGATTAACGTCCGCACGGGTGAGTACTACGACTATTCGCAGTACTATCCTGATAATTAGACCAATTCGTAATTACCAAGGCTAAAATGTGGTTCGGATTCCACTATAAACTGTAGGTCCCTTAGTTGCCATTAGCTGTATGGGCTATTAATTAACAGCTGTGTCTAAGGAATGTCGGCCTTAGTCACTAACAAGACTACAAGATCGCGCCACTCATCCCCATTCATACTTGGCTTAAAATACCTACTTTGTATGGTCGCCATTTCATAGAACAGTATTAACAGTGCTAGGCGTAGGCACTCTAAATAATATGTTTAAGATAATTTAGGACAGCAAATTAAAGGACACTGAATAATAGATTTGTGGATTTATTTAAAATTTCAGAGTACAAAAATTAACAAAATTATAAACTTACATTCACTTAATAATCATGAACATATCAATAAAATATATTTGCTCATACAGTATAGGCTAATGTTTAAACTATATTACATTACTGTATAATATATATTTTATTCTATTGGTATGATAAAACCAATCTAACAAAATATTTCACCTCTTAAACATAAGATCTAGAAATAGCTATTCTGATGTTGCTGTCTGTATGAGAATTGATGCACAAGAATTAATTGTTGGCCAATAAATTATAATACATACTGATTATTTTACCAATATTTTACATTTTTACAAATCCTTTGAATGGTTTTTGGATTATTTTGTATTGTTTGTGTGTCTTGAATCTTTTACCGAGCAGGGTCTGGTAGAAGTTTAAAAATTCTGCCTTGTTATAGAGGACACCTCTAATATAATTTATTCTATATGTAATGGTATTTTAGGATTTTTGGTTTTGAGTAACAATTAAGGGTACTTCAGTATTAAACGGAGGCCACATTTTGTCAGCGCGCTGCGGCGGTTATGTTAGGTTGGGTTATCGTAAATATTATGTGTGTAGGACTTTCCTCGCTTCGTTATGAATCGAACGATACTTTCTATTATGATAACCCAACCTAACATAACCGCCGCAGCGCGCTGACAAAATGTGGCCTCCGTTTAATACTGAAGTACCCAATTAAGTTTGAGGAACTATCCAGTAAGTCTACATTAAAACATAGAGCTTGAAAAACTTTCACCTGGGTTACAAACACTATTTTTGACACTATCAAATAGGCCGATCTATAGAAAACAGTTTTTTGATTGAAAACAATTAAACAAAAATCATTTTTATTTTCTTAACATTCACAAATTATATATTTAAAAACATATTGCAACGTTTTAACATGTTTTGTTGGAAAATGATATGGTAAAATGATCACTCATACTGATGCTACTGAACTAAACCAATGAATTTCAATGAACCAATAAATGTTGCCATACTCTTTCAACGCATGGATTTAGTCAGAGAACAGTGGTTGCCTACCTAATTAAATGGGACTCTTCATTATATACTTAACTGTAGGCTACAGTAATTAATTTTGCTGGACTCTGGCTAATAGTAATTATTTTTAATTTTTGAAAACTTTGTGTATTTCAAAAACATAAATAATTATTTCAAAATGTACTATTAAAAATCATACATTACGGGATTTGACAGTTTTGTTTATTGTTGGGTTAGTAGAGAGTAGTACAACAAAAATATTGTACGTCACTTGTCCAAAATTTGTTTACTGTAATTGTATGGTAATAAAGCTCTAGGCGAACATACATGTCCGGTAAACACTAATTTTTTGTGATAGTAACATAATATATTAAGTTACCAGTTAGTTCAGCCATAGAGGGGGAATCTTTGGTTTGGTTGTAAAGATGGTCTTCGCCAATAGATAATGTTTACAAACTCGTCCATTTTATAAACAAACGCCTTACTACTACACCTTATAATAAAAGACTGTTAAATAAACAGTTTTAGAACTCAAATACATTCTTAATCTCACAAAACATTTTACAAAGTAAAATAAATAACAATGGAAACAAAATAATAGCACCATGATTAAAAGCAGGCCCTATACAAGTACACAAATAGAAGATTTTTAATTTCGCTTATAGACTATTATTCCAACTCCAACAATATAATCTTAGTGCTAGAAAGTTTTTGAACCTCGATTGAACTAATCCTGGATTATTTTATAACCTAATACAAATACTGTACAAGTGATACTATTTTTGTGTGTATACCATTTTATGGTTATTCAAACATGTATATACAGTAAATCCTATATATTAATAGTCAATATTATAATGATTTGCCTTGAAATAGTTTTTTCTTATATTATAACTAATAACAATAACAGAAAAGTTGTATTAATCTGGAAGTAAATAATTACATATTAAAAAATGTACGTAAAAAAATTTGCTCATAAGAACATTGTGATAAAGAAAATTGAGTATTAACTAATGAGTATATGCAGTTACAAAGGAAATATTTGGTAGCTTAATGTGAAATTTTAAAATTATCACTTATGTTCATGTATAAATATTATACATTTTACTCATAAACTTTATTACTCGGGTTGTTGGTCAAACAACTTCTTTAAAGAGAGATAAAATCAAAATGACGACAATAGTTATTTATGCAATTGATTGGCCAGGTGATACTGTTTCAACAAGAGAAAATTTTAGACACATCAGCATTATCAATCTTATCAAGTTTGAGAAGGATTCTTTGTTCAAGAATCGTACATTACATTTTGTCCACAGTTGCTATTCTGTGACAGGTAAAACTTCTTATAGGTACAAATTTAATAAAACGTAAATGTAATGCACTATTTTGCAAACAAATAATTAACATATGCCTACTTGGTTAGTTGCATTGTTCATGAACGAAAAATAACTGGTTAAAAAAGCATTATCTCACTTAGCTAGAGATACAACAGAATGAAAGAATCGTGATATGTTGGCCACAATTTCTACTAAGGGATAAAGTACATTTTGTACTTACATTTGAACAAGGGGATAATGGGATTATACATACATAAAGAAATGAGCCAATGTGCTGATTTGCTTATAACCATCATAACCAAATTTTACAGCGTCTCGATTTTCTAGCAGAGTTTCTGTGCCAGTGCTACCTTCCGTTGTATTTCTAGCTCAAAAACTGCTGCAGTCATAAATAATTTGTTCCTCAATTGGTAGGCCTGAATTTTGTTTTCTTTAGTTGTCACTCAAGCCTGGTTTACACGGGTCGAGTATGACGGTCGAGTTGTTCAGCCCAGTTACTAAGCCCAGTTGTTAATTTTGTTCAACTCGCCAATTACTTCAATAGACTGTCCCAACGCATCCCTATTTCGGACAGGGACAGTAGGGCAATATGCGCAGAGAAGTATTTTTTTAACTTCTCTTTGGTGTAGGGTACTCCATAGGCAGATATCCTAGCTTTCGTGTTAAAATGTTGTTTGAGTTTAAAATGGCACGTCAAGAGTATAATGCTGAATTTAGAACTCACATCACTGAATTAGATTAAATATTAGAATTGAACTGAATCATCACTTCAATTCAGTGGTTAACTTTGAAATGGTGACGAAATTGACCAAAGTGGAAGGTGAAAACAACAACATTTACATAGGGTAGAGTAGATTTAGTTGTAAAAAGATTTGTTAAACTAAATTTTATAAGAGTAGATACTAGATTTATATACGGTACAATAAAACAATGCAACAAAGGGCAAGGATCGGTCAACTGAATCATTGACTACTAAACTAACCTCGCAATAAAACATATTGGACAGTAAACCAACATTAAACTCTCCTTTTTGTTTTGCGGGCAAATCGTGGTGGTGGGGAAGTTACTGGACCGAGCAACTCAGTTTTCAACTAAACTAGTAGACTCACTCTCTCAACTGACCTCTTTTTACCCACTCCCCGATACTCGACTCGCCTGCATGTCAACAACAAGCGAGTTAAAAAACGAGTGGCAACTCGCACACTGACTCGCTCGCCGTACTTGCCCCTTGTAAACCAGGCTTCTTAGAGTGAGTGAGTATAGTAAATCGGCTGCTTAGAAAATGAGAATAAGATTTTTTAAAACTGTTAAGAAATCAGATGTTTTGCTAGCAAATTCAAGTGAACAAAATTAAATTTTTCATGACAACTGTAAATAAAGATTTTTTCTATAATTACTAAATAAATTTACTTTTGTTGGTACCGTTCATCATATCTTATTTGTGTAGTGCATTCCTTGAAATAACTTAACCAAAACATATTAAACAAAACTAAAACTAAACATCATACACATTGCAATAAATAAGATCTTAGGAATAAATATAGGCTACCTAATACATTTGATCAAGGAAAATGCTTCTTATAGAAATATATTTGTTCAAAATCATTACCTACTCAATAAATTAAATAAAGATTGTACTAAAAATTGAATTTCTTAATTAAATTATTGATCTAATAAGTAATAGTCAGTGGAGAATATAAGGAATATGTTTTTTTAAGAGGGGGCCTTAGAATAATGTAAGGTTAGGAAGTAATTTTAACTAAGGCACCCGCTCTTTATCTCAGTTTTACTGACCACATTTATTTAGAATTAGAAGGTAATTTACGCTGAATGTCATTTTTACTTTACCAAGGTGACACTTCTATATTTTTGACATTAAATAATAAAAAATATCTATTATGGTACTAATTTTCCCTTCATATTCATAATTTTTGGGGGACCTGGGTCCCTTGCCCTCTACCCACCCTTATACTCACCATGATACAGTGTAGTGAGATTCAAATAGCTTTATGAATTCATTTTAACACGTTCACTACCTATCGCCATAAATTTGCGACGCTGCGGCCATTGCCACGACCCGAGGTATACATTTTAAGATTACACACATAGACCGGGTGTCACTTGGTTAACAGTACAAGCAGACTGCGGGCCAGTGGTGCAGCAATATGTAAAAAACAGTTTTGCCAACTATCTTTATGACGTCCCGAATCATCATATCCAAAGACCAAGTGACGCACATATGCGAAAGACATCCCTGTAGACCACTGCAGAGAATTAAGGGCCTTCAAATAGACCGTTACGAAGATATAAGCTTTTTAATAACCTTGGGACACCGATGCAAATATGCGACGTCAGTCTATTTAATGACCAGTCTATGAATAGAAACCGGCCGTTGCAAATGTGTGTTGCTGGTCCATATGAATGCAAAATTTAGTACTATTGCGGTAGCGAACATGTTAAAAGACCAGATGAAACTTTTGCCAGCCGTTACAAATATTTATCAGTTTTTTTATTTTATTTTTTCAACATAGTAATTCAACCTACACTGTAATAATTAAAAAAATTAAGTTTTTCTTTCTGAAGGTAATTTTGTTATATAGTACATATTTAAGTTTACTTAATTCCAGATAAGACTAATCTTGATTTTTGTACTTAATTCAATTCAACGGGTAAGAAATCACAACAACAACACATAAAAGAAAGAATAAATAAAATCTGTAAACATCACCAAATAGCTCGATGTTGTAAGATATTAAACATGTTTAGACTAACTGTAGATTAGACTGTCTTTTTACAGTTGGGAATGTGACTTGAATGGTCTCAAAATGAAGGTCTCTACATTGAAAAAAACCAATGTTTCACAAAAATACTTATGAATACTACGGTTTTAAGTCTGCCACTAATTTGCCGTAATACATCCAAGATTTATCATTGAGAAGCTTGTCAAACAGAGTTGTATGTTCCAGTACATCCACACATCTGTCATCACAGTTCATTCTAGAACTGGTTCTTCACTCACGTGCCAAAGAAAAATTGTTGCAAACCTCTTAGGTAAAAATATTAAGAGATAAATCTATGAAGAACTATGTTTAATCTTTGACTATTGATACAACTAGACAATTCATCCCCAAGCTGAAGTTGTCACCTATTAAAACAAAAACTAAATTGTCGTAGTTGATGTGAGCCAACTATTTATTATTTATTGTACTGATTTAAATTATTGATTTCTATCAAATACACAAACTTTTTTTACCAAGTCAAACTAATGGAATGACTTATTGTGAGCTACAGCAACTGTTATGGCCCCATCAACTCAGTTGGTAACAAAAAATAAGTGTAGAAAATAGGAGAATTTTAGACAATCGCACATTCTCTGAGTGGCTCACACGAATATGCTCTTTAATATTAAAAATTTGTGACAGCAAAGGATGTGATGTCTACTTCAGTATCCAATTGTCAATGGTATAATCTATGGTTCTGGTCCAGAAGGGAACTTGGGGACAAAAATAATTGGATACCACAACAGAAACCCACATAATGTTTTAACAATTGGTACCACGAGTCTCAGCCCCTTTTAAAGTAGCCTGTTATGGCTACACATGTGCAATATTTTGTAGCAGCTATTTTTTTAAACAGAATCCTTTGTATGCTGTTGCAAGACTTTTAAACCTGCTTCCCCAGACTGTCATATAGCGCCACAGAGAAATAAGAAACAGGGTATACATACATTCAATGGAACACTTAAGTGGTGTAGCCTCTGGTGTCTAGTGCAAATTCTGTTTGTCGTCCCCTCCCGCTCTCCTTTCCCCCCTCACCATCACGCATTTATAGCGCTGACGCTATAGGAAGACCCTGTGCACTACAACTGCTGTACAACAATACTATGTAGCCATATCTGTTTGGGCTCTTCCAGTCTCGATACTGGTACTTTTCCGCCCCAACATAGCAGAGCTAAAAGCGCATGGCTGTCCCATAATCTTGTATCCACTATATCTTAATTCTCTGTAATGGGGCTCATCCACAACATTGAATAAGTGAATCTAGAATCGGCTTGCCGATTCCACAACCTACAGCCTTGAGGTTTACAGACTGTTCCAGGACCACTGGAAGTTAATAATCTAGTAATGTAAAAATTAAGATTTAAGTCATCCCTGGTAGCGGGTAGACCATAATGTAAATTTTCCTGATCCTGTCATAAGAAAAGATCAAGTCTTCCAAATTTTCGTTTATCATTAGTGCAGTCTTCAAGCCTACACATGATGCAGAAGTGTACAGACAATCGTAGGCTCATGTATTGGAACTGTGATCTCTCACTGTCACTTATTTGAGAAAATATACTTTTGCCCAGCCCTGATTATTGCAGTTACATACACTTAGTTAATTGATTATTGCACTTAGTACAATAAATGTCATGAGTTTATAACCTAGCTTATAACTGGAGATGCTGACTCGTCCCCCACGATCTCTTCAACCCTCGAGATATCCGCTTTCCGATCGTGTGAACTTGGAATCCGATCTTCATCAGAGCTTCGTGGTCAAGAATCTTCCGACCGTCAAATACGTAGGCTGGCTTCATCATACTGTTGTAGATCCTGTGGTAATCTAGTACCTGAAAAACAGAGTTTAGAATTTTATTTTCTCTATAAAATCAAAATCAGCAATGGCTGGTCCTGGAAGAAATTGCTAAAGATGTAAATTGAGTGATGTAGTTTGTTTTGGAATAGACTTTTATTCTATTTTATATCAAGTGACTACAGTAGCAAACATGGTAGCTTAGTGGTAGTGTATCATACATTGCTAGTTTGAGACCCGCCTCCTGCAGTAATGTATCACTAGCTTGTCCACATGACTTATACTATGGCACTGCCTTTAGATCAACGTACAGACTTGTAATCTTGAAGTCTTTGGCATTATGTAGGTAAGATATAAAAAATGTATAAAAGCATGTTATTAAAGAGGGTTACTAAAAAATGTATGTATATTCTGATTACTGGGGTGAAGTTTCTTGCTACATTGCTTTAGACTAATTTATTTTTTAATACTATTGGTTGTGGCCACCTCTCAAAACACTGTAAAATCAAAATAGGCCTACAAATAGTAAAATGACATAAATATATTAATTAGTATTAACAACCTCCTTTCACAGCTGAATCCATTGAAGCCCTGAGTCTCATATTAAGCAATCAACAAATTGACCAGAAGAGCGGTAAGGCAGAACTCATTGACTCTGCTTCTAACCACAATACTGATCATTTAACTGTTCTGTTCCCATTCACACTTTAAATAAACACATCTACCTTCCCAAGGTGTTAGACGATTGTTACAGCATTAGTTGAATTCAACAACCTTATACACTTTTTGAACGACCCTTGAGGATCTAAGGTTTTAAAATAACACATGACAATCATTTAACCCTTTGAATGCCAAAAGCCGACTAGATCGGCTTTTAATTACATCGCGAGAAGTGCCAACTGCCGATGTGATCGGCATCGCCTTCCGTCGCGAGAAATGCCAGCTGCCGATGACATCGGCGCCTGGCGTCTGCGCGAGAAATGCCCGCCGCCGATCTAATCGGCATTTTGTTAATTCATTGTAGCAAACGCATATTTAACAGTAAACGTTCTTACCACAACTCAAATTAAAGCTAAAGAGTTGTAGTACTTGAAAAATATGCGTTGGTAAACGAAAAAAGAGCGGATTAATTTCGTATAGCATTCTAAAGTCACGAGTGTTGAGGTTATACGGATGGCTGTGGCATTGGGCGTCACGCTGTCTGCCGCTCTCAGACTGCGTGGAACCAATTTTTTTTAACATGTGATTTGTCAATCTAGCGGGAATACCTTATTATTATTATGCTTTTGGATGTTAGGTTATGGCTTAGGCTAATGTAAACCAGCGTGCCTTGTGTTTGTTTATACAGTATTGTATTGTGAGTTTCCCGAGCATTACTGTGGTTTGTTTCAAAATGAATAGGCCTAGTTAATAAACGGCCACATTCTCCTGTGAGTGAGGGAACGCTTATACGTGATTTGTGTGAAAGTGGTGTGAATGTGAATGATGTCAACAATGACAATAGTGATGTCGAATCACTAGATGACATTGACTCTTCTGGGACTGAGAGTAGTGACGAAATGGTCGACGACACGGACGAGGACCCAGATTATGACCCAAGTACTACTCCAAGGCCTCGATTCCAGTTATCCTTGCCTCGTCCAAGAATTAATTTTGATTTGAACCTCCCCGGGACCTCCACGGATGGACATTTTTCAAGGCCTGATTTGGATGACTCTGAAGAGGATGCAGATGATCCGGCACCCGTAATGCCTCCTATAACTAATTCAAGAGGCTGTTCAAACCTACGAGGAAGAGCTACAGGGCGTGGTAGAGGCCGTCATAGAGGAGGTAGCCATCCAGAAATTCGTCCACAAAGTCCAGAAAGTAGTGATTGGGAAGAAGTGTTTGATGACGTTGACCATGGATATGAACATTCGTTTGTTTTCAATGAACTGTCCGGGCCAAAACATTGCCCCCCCCGTAATAGTCCTCCGATTTCATACTTCGATCTATTTTTCACGGCCACTTTGATAAACACATTTGTTGTGGAAACAAACAAATATGCCCAAAGGTTTATTGCATCAAGAGGAAATAACTTGTCACCAAACAGTCGAGTCAAGAAATGGGTGGATGTGACCATGTCTGAAATGAAGGGGTTTCTTTCAGTTGTTTTGAATATGGGCATCAACCAAAAGCCATCCATTCCAAGCTATTGGTTTGTTTCTTCGTCCCAAAACATCAAATGGTTTTCTAATATGTTCACGAGGAACAGATTCCAGCTTTTGCTAAAGTTCTTCCACATTGTCGACTCGAACACGTTAGTGCCTCAAGGGAATCCAGGCTATGACCCATGTGGAAGGTTTCAACCATTGATTGACCACTGCAACAGAATGTTTCGTTTTTTCTATACCCCTAATCAAAAGCTATCCGTAGATGAGTCGTTGGTTGGTACGAAGAAAAGAGTGGCCCTCACACAATATATCCCAAAAAAAAAAACATCATCGTTGGGGCATCAAGTTGTGGGTGTTGTGCGACGCTGTAACGAACTACTGCTTCCAATTTTATTGTTACCGTGGAGCTGCATTCGAAGATAGGAGTGTCTCTGATCAGTTTGGTGTCGGCTATGCTGTTGTCAAAAAGCTCTTGGAAATGGGAAACCTTTTGAAGAAAGGTTTCCATATATATTTGGACAATTTTTTTACAACAACTAAGCTGGCTAGGTTTTTGTACACTAATGAAACCCATTTGACCGGAACCGTGCGAGTTGGCAGAAAAGGTATTCCCAGACAGCTTCGAGGGAAATATGATGTAGGGAAGAAGGTGTACGTCCGAAAAGGGCCAATCCTACAGATGGCATATAGAGAAAAACCGACTAATAGGACACAGTTTATAATAATGTCAACTAATGCCAAAGCCAAAAACGTAAGATATACAATTAGGAGATCTGGGAAAGTTATCATCAAAAACAAACCCCAAATTGTATACGAATATAATCATGGGATGGGGGGCATCGACGGCACAGATCAGATGTTGTACACTTATTTGGACGAGAGGAGGACAATGAAGCACTGGAAGAAAGTTGTATTTAACATTTTTGGAAGAATGTGCCTGAACAGCTACGTAATTTATAAAATGAATACAGACAAACCAATGTCCAGACTACAATTCCAGATAGCTGTCATTGAATCACTAGCAGATGTTTGGCTTTCAGAAAAAAATCAAGCACGAGGTGAGAACGGAGGAGGAGATGCGCCGCAAGGAAATCGAACGTGTGGAGTGGAAAAGTTAGATGGAAAAAGGGAAAAGGATTGTATTGAATGCAGTGGATCTAAAAACGAAGAGGGGAAGAGGAGACGCTCCAGGACTGTCTGCGTCAAGTGTAAGAGAGGTCTGCACTTGGACTGTGTCACGCTGCACAACTGCAAGTTTTAGTTCGAAAAAATAACCAAAAATGTAATATATGTAAATAGTAGATATTAAGGAAGCGTTTTATTGACTTGACATTTTTGTTTTTGTGAATTTACTTTTATTTAGTGTTTCTCAAGATTTTAAGTGAACTTACCTCAAGAGTTTCCAAACTTTTGTTCTCCAGTTCTTGAGCCGCTTTCACTTATATGTAAGTAAAATATGTTTTTTTATGTTGTTCATTTCCTTAAGTTTTATTTTTTTCTTAATGTTCATTATATTTCAGCAACAAAAATATAAAAAATACAAAAAACGACATGTAATTGCCTGACGCTATTGAGTTTTATGTTTATTTTAGGGTGTAGGCCTATAATGACAGATTTTTGCAACAACACTACTATTTTTCTAAAATATTTTTTTTATTATTATTTATTGGCCAAAATTAATGAAAATTGGTGTACTATGACAAAACAACATAGTAAATCGAAATATAGTATTGGTTAATAAGTTAAGTGAAATTTAGACAAAATTTTTTAGTTTGAAAAAATAAATATTTTTTATAAAAATTTTTATTTTATATCATTTTATTAGTTGTAAAAAAAATTTTTGACCAGATTTAGTTTAAATATATATCAACGTTTAGAGCACATATTTATCTTTAAAACAAAAAAAGAAATAAGGTTCTATCTATATTATAAGGGAAGTTATAGTTATTTTTTAAAAACATTGCAAAATCACATGATTTGGCCTGGCAATTCTGGTTGTCATATGGCTAGTAGCCCTGGCAGCTGATGGTTACACACAGGAAACTCAGCTGGCCGTTCTCGCACAGAAAACAGCAAAAGTTCTTGGCATCCAAAGGGTTAATTAGTATATGTCTGTGAAAAGTTTGCAATGAAATAAAGTGGACTAAAGATAGAATTTATTATTATTGTCAGTTTCAAAGATGATGTTACGTTACGTACCATAAACTCATCCCACTCCGTACACAACACAATAGCATGGGTGCCTTTAGTCGCAGAGTAAGCATCCTTGTGTATTGTTATCTGCTTCTTCAACCTCTCAGGATCTTCTGATTGAGTTAAATCCTCAATTATTTGATTGTGTTCCACCTAAAAAAATATTTATCAGAATCAATTAAACCACTTACAGGATCGTCTCTTTCTAGACGTAAAATTAAATAAACGCAAATACTTCGGGTTATAGGCTTAAGTATCAGTTTTGTGTGTGAAGAAAAAAATGTTTCAATACAATGAATGATTTTACATTTTTATTAATTTAACATTACATTTATTAGGGCTGCTTATAAAAACTTTTATAAATCAACAATGGCAACATGTAAAAATACCGCAGCAATACTGCAAATCTACAGCAAATCTACAGACTAAGTGAATTTCCATTTACCTGACTGGATTTCTACTAAAATATTCCCTCAAAATTGTCTGATTTATTTCCTATTTAAATAACATTAATTTTAATGAGTACCGGTACTTAGGTTTGCTGCTACAGTGAAGGTGAAGGTATTGAGGTTTTTTTCATTGAAATTTTGATCGCTTAGTATGAAATAAACATTGCTAAATTTGATTAAAATATATGCATAAACAAACAAACTACAACAGTTTATTTCCATAAGTAAAACATGGGAATTTACAATTTTTCAACTTTTTTAATTATCTATGTAACCGTTAGGCGTAAACAACGCTTCAATATACAAAATTATTTCTTTTTTTAAGCTCTACAAAATTTCCTGGTTTATCAGTCTACTGTATACCCCTGTTACTAATTCAGAACACAAAACTTTGTCTTTTAATTTAAATACAGACAGATGGTGAGAACTAGTAGGGTTTGGATTAGCGGATGTACGAGTTTTGTAAACGGATAAGGTGAAATCTGCCCACTTTCGTTTACCTTGGGATCATAGATGTGCAGCTTGGCGCCTTCTATTAGCAATGTCTTTGCTACATGGATTGCAGGTGACTCGCGCGTATCTCCGGTATCCTTCTTAAATGCAAAGCCCAACATTGCGATCTGTTTGTCAGTCACCGTGTTGAACAGCGAAGTGATCACCTTGTTTGTGAACCGAGACTTTTGATACTCGTTCAAGTCAATCACCTGAAATTCAATTCAACTGCTTCAAGTAACAAAATAGGCTTCCTATGGTTTGGTTGCAAGCATAGAATTTTTTAAAGCTCGCAACATGTCAAAATAAATAACTGATTGTAACACACAAAAAATATAATATATAGGGTAGAATGAGGTAGGTCCACCTTCTACCTTCTATCTCTGAAGAAGAAGCCTCTGAAAGGGGCGAAATATCAGTTTAATGTGTTTGTGTTCTGTTGATCTCCTGAGACTTCTTTATTCAGGTGAGTTAGTTGTGTATCCTTACTTTCTCCTCAATAATTATTCCAAAGCCATGTTGCTTTTTTTCCTTTAAAAAACTATAAAAATAATTAGACTTTCAAACACTGCACAACTTGTTTGGTTAGGTTAAATACAAACATTGAACGAAATTGGAAACGTTGCACCAGCTGATCGTAGTCGTAATATCTTTAAGTGTCGCCAACCTATTTCCAAGCGTACTTGGATTACGTGCATAATAAAAGCACCCTGTTTTTGCGTTGTTTGGTTGGAATACTTGTGTGCGCCAAAGTAAGGCTTTCTGTTCTATAATCCGTGCAAGGAAGCCCAGTTTGTAGAGTGACTGTAGGAAAAATATCATGTGTTAAATATGTGTAACTAATAACTATTTAAATGGAGACAACTCTATTCTCACCTGTTGCCAATAGGCAGCAACCTCTGGTAGATTTAGACACTCACAGATGTATACCAGATTGAGAATGTCTTTCTGGAAGCAGCTTCCACCGAATCCTGAAATAATTCCAATATTTCAAGTGGTTTAAAACACAATATAAAACTGTAGTTAATTTTTTTAAAAGATTACAAAACAGAGTTTTGGGTGGATAACGATTATGTTTACTTGTTTAAGAAAGGATAGTCCTTGAATTGGTGTCAACGCCCAACGGCAATGAAAAATTAACCTTATCTATGAATTTATGAAACAAATCTAATATTCAAGATAAAAATGAAGACTATAAGTTACTGTATAAAAAATAATTAGCAAAATGTAGACAATGGCCAGTGCAGGCATAAAAAAAAATATTTTTACAAATAATTTACCTCATAGGAAATAACCAATCAACTCATGTTTTGAAAAAGCCTGGACCAAAAACATATAAATATATAAAATAAATATATATAATATAGAAAATAAATACAAAATATATAGGTACCATTTTACATTCTGTTACCTATACTACATTAACATTCTTACAGTGTAACGTTAGGTTAAAGTGAGTAAAATAGAGCGAGATTTCTTGACTGTAGCTTTGTCACAGAATAAGACTAACTTTTTCTTTACCCAGGACCATTTATAAGAAGTTGTGATGAAACAGTTGTAACATTTATAAGTTTTTGGTTTTATCTGCTATCGGTTTAGGTTATTTTTGGTTTTGACGAGATAAATAATTAGATAAAGACTTCAACATCATAACTCTCAATACAGTAACAGTAAAGTTGTAATAATCACACAAGTAAAGTCATGATCATCATCTCCTGAGATTGTAGCAAAATTAAAAGTATCTTCCTCAATTGGAAAGATGGCATTATCGTTACTTTTTTGAAGGTCATGTTTCAACATTTTTTTTTTCATCCATGGTAGAAGCTTCAGACATTAGCAAGGAAATATTATACAATGGGCAACACATACCCACAGAGGCCTGAAGGAACTTTGAGCCAATTCTTGTGTCCGTGCCAACTGCTCTAGCCACCTCTGACACGTCTGCGCCAGTAGCCTCACACACAGCTGATAGGGAGTTAATACTTGATATCCGCTGAGCTAGGAACGCATTGGCTGCCTGAAACCACATCAATACAATCTGTATTAAATAACTTGAATTTGAACATATAATGAATTCTTTAAGTTGGATTCAGATCTAGTTGGAAATTTTCTAAGAGCAGTTATATGAACGAAGTGTTGTTAATTGATCAAAAAGGAATTTAGCAGTGCTTGTAGATAATCTAGAAATACCACTGTTGCAAACCTGTGCTTCTGTCCTTGGCCTAATAGTGTGTAACTTGGGATTACATTGCCCTGATGATAAAAAAAACTGTTACACTTTTAGGACGTCGGCATTCTACAATTAGGGGCAGATATCATGGCTTAGCTTAGAATAATCGTAGATCCTTCATTGGAAAACCACCATGAAGCCAACTTTGCTCATAAAAACACAATGTTGTGCAAATAGCAATCATCTGTTTTAAAGTATATACTCATGTTAAATAATTTTAAGAAGATTCCTTGCATTTACACTTGTTCTTATTTTGAATTTAATTGATTTTTCTAAAGTTTTTTTTGCCCCTTCAATATTTAAATTGTTTGTAATAATGTAAAATGGTTATAAGCCAAATTTGTTACTGTTTAAGAAGTAGGAAATATATTTTTGTACAGTTAATAGTTCACACTGACTCAAGATCAAGATAAAGATGGAAAAAAACAATTAGTATTATAAGAAACGCTGCTGACAACCCTTTTTTAAGGCTTGTTTTGTATTATAAATTCATTGTATATGTGCTGTACCAAGTAATCTATATAAATAGAATTAGAGTTTTGTCTGTACATTGCTCAGAATTATATATTTTTAGGTTATTTTTACGTCTTATACATTAAATAAGCAGAAACGAGTCTTATCTCAATTTCTGTCTGTCTGTCTTTCCCTTTGTCTGTACGGTAACACTCAAGATGGCATTTTACGCTATCTTCTCCTGGAAAACAAGAGTACCTATCAAGATCCAAGTCATTTTAATGTATTCACTGGATTGGCGAGATTGTCTTTAGCCATTAAAATATGGCCTCACTACTTTGTAAATAATATTACGAACGTTCAAAAATGTAGTTTTGTGCGATTTATGTCAAGTTTTCGTCCAATTTTTATTGCATAATCATCATGCATAATAACGAACAGCTGTTCGGATCAAGATTATTTTTCCTAGCTGTCACTGATATGTTTACAAATGTTGTTTACAAATACCGCAACCTTTTTCAATCACGTTTTGAATGTAAATCCCAAGTGATTAAAAAGGTTTTTCTTACATAACGGATTTAATTAATCGAAAGTGCAATAATATAGTGTAATAGTGTAACCGTGTAAATGAAATTAAATAGGTAACTAGGCATCATCCAGTTCAGGAACCAGAGATTCTTTGTGTATAAATTGTTCTTGAGTTTTGGTAACCAGAAGACCTTGAATCAGTGTTGTATACGGCTGGGAAACTTTAAATTTAATAATGATCGTCGCCAATGGCTTAGAAATATGGTTTCCACTCATTGACACGGCGCTTCAATGGCGGTTGTGTAAAGTGGTAAGTAAAAAATCACAACTGCAGTGGTTGATTGTAACAGAGGTTTACGGATGATGCTAAACTCGCTTTTCTAATGTGTTATTTTCTGTTCCTACCATTGACTATATATATATAGTCAATAGTACCTACTCACCGTGTGATGCAATCGCTGGACCATACAGCCATGCTCTTGGGTACGTACGCCTACCCAATTATTCATAACAAACTGTTCGACGACGATCCTTGATACCGGTACTTTTCCCTAGAATACACGGCCTACCTACTTAAGAAATAAAATTACAAACGTCCAAAAACCCAACGTTGTGTGATTTTTGTCACATTTCCTTCTAATGTTATTAGATAGCCTTTACCAATCATTGTTTAGAGAATAGGTACGTAGGGCCTAATCTATTAAATAACAAAAAGTTGTTTGTATGAGGTTGTTTTTTTTTTTAAACTGACACTGATAAGTTTACATTAAAAGTTGTTTACAAATAAAGCAATTATTGGGAAATAACTTTGATTGCCGTTTTAAAACGTTTTACGAGAAAATCAAAAACCAAGAGATCAATAACCTCGGGACTTGATTAACTCATATAATTGGTCGGCTGTACTATAGTTCTCAACTGTGAACGTTGGTTTTTGGTACCGGTTCTATTCCTTAGAACCGTTGGTACTGTTGGTAGTAGCAAGAATCATTTTTAAGTACCAACACATCACTGTACTTTACAAATTAGTTATCGTTGGTGTTGCACCTTATTTATTATTACAGGCGTATTCAATTTAATTGATGTCTTAACTGTACAATTTTTGCTTTTTCTTTCTTGATTCCAAAATGTTAGTTTATGCTAAGAAAACGATAACACACTTTAGTAAAACATTTATTCAGCTAACCATAATGAATTGTTTAAACACTTTACGTTGTTTATGTATCAATAGTTCGTGGCCTATTTTGGTAATATTTACTATAAATTACAGTCGTCTTCATTTCATATAGTAAGCCGTCATTTCGGGTCATCATCGGTCCAAGCAAATATACATTGTTATGATGAAATTTGATGACATTAACAAAATATTTTAGATACTAATTTTACAAGTACTTTGTTATGCTTAAAGCGTAGCAAACCCCCTAATTAAGTTCTGTATTTTTGTGTGTATGTCTGTTAGTAAAGCATTAATGTCCTTATTTCTCAGTGTTTCACGGAAAGGACAAAAGTACCTTTATAATGAAAATGTCAACACGAATAAAGTGTTAAATTGGGAGGTTGAAGTAGTACCTTAAATACTTTTAACCATTGTGGAAGGTAACTTTCAATTATAGGTCTACATTAGGGCTATGCCTCATAGATCTATAAAGCATTTTTTAGTTTAATCATTGGATTTAACATATGGACCAACACGACCCAGGTTACATTTAATTTCGAAGCATTTGTTTTGGCTTGAAACTGTCAGATACTGTATTTGCGAAGGTTTATATACTGTATAATAGTTTTGCCAGCATATCTGAAAATATGCAAACCAAATTCTGTTCTTAATAAAAAGGTTTCAATAACTGACTACAATAAGATCCCCGTGCGTAGAACGGGCACACAGCTAGTGCAAAATAAAAGTGTTGTTGACAATTAATTGTAATCTATATTTCTTCAAAACCTTACACGTTTTCGTACTGAAAACCCTTTGCTCAGTTTGCGAAATAGTTACAAATCTATCTGGTAATAAATCTTTCGAAGAGAATGTGAATTGACCTTGAAGATTTCCGAGAGGCACGAATGGGTGACGCATTTGGTCAAAATAAAACAAGTTTTGGCGAGGTCCGTACCATGATGTACCAGCCTCCTGCCTCAGGGGCACTGCCCGGCGCCGGGGCAAGGTCAAATGGTTTTTGTTTTAGGAGAAAGTTTTGTACAACTATTGCGCAATATTATCAGCTTAACGCATAAGCGGTTATTCCCATTCTTTAAGTGACTGATTGTTCCTTTAAATTTTAAACAATCTAAAAATCTGTTGACGTTGCTAAGTTAGTGGTTAGCGTTGTGGCCATCGGTGCTGGAGGTACCGGTTCGATTCCCGCCGTATCCAAAAAGATTTGAAAGGTTTACACCGCTTTACATAAACGTTAGAATTAACTTCATACAAATTGCCACATATGTAGACCAATGAGATTAGACCATTGATTGGATCAATTGAATTCACGCATGGTTCAAGTACCCCTTCCTATGGTAAAATTTGAAGTATTTTGTGAATTACGTTTGAAAGTGCTGAGTTTGACTAAACGTTTTTCTCCCTTCACAAGGTAAACTATAAATGTTTTGAATCAATCTTTGGTTGAATTACTGTAGGAGTGGACAAGCAATGGTTGGTATAAATATTTGTTTTGCCAGGTTGAAGTTGTTTTATGTTGGTGGAGCAAGAAATCTGGAAGTAAACAGCAAAGCGTCCTGAACATTTTGATCAGAAACCAAACTTAAAATTATCTCCATCTGTACCATGAACTTTTTCTTAAAGGTTGGCGAGTGAAGCGAAAGTTAAACCAAAAGTCAGATACATAAACTGTACAATGTATAGTGTATACTCTATGATTTTATTTTATTTTTATGTGCCGGGACCCCTCTTTTCTTGAGAGGAATTTTAAAACAAGAGATGGTCTGTTTTAGCGAATTTCCCATATAAAAATTGTGTTTGTTTCTACGCCGCTGGTTAAATTAAAACAAGGACAATATGATAACATTAAGCTGTACACAGTGTTCTTATGTTAATAAAATCAATTTAAAAAAAGTTGATATGTTTACTTAGTCAATGGTAAGTGTAAAAATTTAAAGGCAGTGTACTATGGAACTGAATAATATCCCTGTCGCAGCAAACCTGAAAAGCGAATTTCCATTTGCCCGATTTGATTTTCACTCTAATCTATAAGCATTAAATATCGTTCTTGATTCGAATGTTGACGATGTTTAGTGCAAACTTTTCCTTGTTTTCGATGTAACAAGTGTGTTGGCGTAATTAAGGCTTCAGGTTGACGCATGGAATGATGTAAATGATCATTATAAACATATGTTACATCACGGACTTCTAACACACTGTAGTATTCTGTAGTTTGTGCTGCTATAAGGATTGCTGCAGGTAATTGGTGTGGAAGGTTTTAGCAGACTATTTTTATTAGTTCATTCACAAACCAATCAAGTAATTTATTTATTAAGTACCAATAAAATGTAAAATTGTTTATGTAACTTAATAACATTTTTGAATAACTAGCAGTTACACACGGGCTTCACCCCGTTTGACTTATTAAGTAAGTATTAATAAAACTACCTATTGATTGGTTAAGTTAAGCTGAAGTATACAGAACAGAATACAGTACAAACAAAATATCACACTTTAGGTAATAAATTGAAAGAATAACAAACAACGCCTGAAAACTTATACATTTATACACCTAATGAAAGAACTAAAAATTGCTGTTTTTATTTTTGGTATACACTTTTATTATTCATCGTAAAGAACAACTTGCCATTTAAAATAATAGTTGTTAAGCGCAGCAACGCGTGCCGGGTAACTGATATTACAGTATATACAGGGTGACAATTATTAAGTCTTAGGACGACTTTATAACTTTTAAACGACAAACGATATCACAACCACATTTGGTATACCGTTACTGGAAATTGTAAGCTACTTTTCTGTGTACATGGTGGTCGGATATCACCTTTGGGGGACGGCCCGTCGGGGGTCAGAAGAAAATCTTTAATGACAGCCTATGTTGAGTTGTACATCATTTTAAAGGTCTACTTCAACTGAAAACAATGCCGCAAACCGCACTTCCAAAGGTTGATCCTACGCAAAATGGCAGATGTTCAAAGATTTTCAAAATTAGCCAATTTCTTTAAATTAAGACACTTTTTTAAATCTTTAAACAACTGTCATTTTTTAACGGATAGTCCTTTTGAAGTACGGTTTGCGGCATTTTTCTTTGCTTAAAATTCCCTTTAAAATGATCCCCATAACTTCACATTCAGTGATCCAAATAACTCTTCAGGGCGACGGCCCACAAGGAGTCGGAAGTAAATCTTGAATGGAAGCATAGGTCGATATGCACATCAAATTAAAGGTATTTATTAGTAGAATACAATGCCGCAAACCGTACTTCAAAAGGACCATCCTTTAAAAAATGACAGTTGTTTAAAGATTTAAAAAAGTGTTTTAATTTAAAGAAATTGGCTAATTTTGAAAATCTTTGAACATCTGCCATTTTGCGCAGGATCAACCTTTGGAAGTGCGGTTTGCGGCATTGTTTTCAGTTGAAGTAGACCTTTAAAATGATGTACAACTCAACATAGGCTGTCATTAAAGATTTTCTTCTGACCCCCGACGGGCCGTCCCCCAAAGGTGATATCCGACCACCATGTACACAGAAAAGTAGCTTACAATTTCCAGTAACGGTACTCAAAGCATCAAGAACTTTTGTTCAAGGATAGAGTTTTCTCAAAAGTTCATTATCCTCATTAGCTTATATACATAGATGGATTAATGACTGTGACAATGAGTATCGAAATATACATTAGTACCTAAATAAAAGTATTAGTAGCCCCGCCGCAGCAAACCTGCAGACTAAGTGAATTTCAACTTGTCTGATTACATTTTTACTAAGATGTTTCCATAAATAAATTTTTTCTAACGTAAAGGTAGGATTGTTATCCTTTATTTCAAACTAGAATTTTACGCTGATTACAATGCCGCAATTAGTTTTTAAAAATCTTGATCCGTTCTAAAGTTATGAGGACTTTTTATAACTTTATTTTTTGCCCATTTTAACATTGTGCATTTACAAACTAAGACGTAATCTCAAAATAGTGCTATAAAAAGATAAGTATACACCACCATTCATTGTCAACCTATTTTCACTTGGTTATGACGGGTGTTGTTTTCGGCCGCCATCTTGGATCCGCCATTTTGAAATGTGATCAATTATTTAAATATGAAGATGGTGTTGTGAGCCATCATTTTGAGCTACTTTTTTATGCTGAACCGTTGACTGTAAATAACGTAAAAGATTCACCATAAGGAAAGCATGGCAAGTGGAAAACGTCTGCATTCTAATCAGCTGTTACTTATTTATTTGCAATGTTTACATTTATTCCGAAAGTCAATGTTGTTAAACAATGTTTCAAAATGAAATGTATTCGTTTAATTTGTTTTCCGATTTTTAATGAGTGAATTAACTAGACAGGTAAGGGGAAGACCTGCAAAACGCATGTTACCACAATGGACTCATTAACATTCCGAACTAAAAGACCATGATTCTAAAAAACATAAGGCAATACAACAGTGCAATCAATGGCTTTTGCGTCGCTTTGCGCTAAACAAAAAGAGATTCCGGGAAATGTGCCTTCCTGTTTTAAAATTTAAGGACAAATTCATTGATATATTTCTGACTTACTACTGTGAAATGGAGAGTTGCATTCATATGGAAAATTGTGTCTAAATTAGGGGCTATGGCCCCTACAAGCCACTATAGTGCGTTCAAACAGCACCTGACGGATTAGGAGACCCCATGGAAACCCTTGGAGTCTCCTAATCCCTCAGGTGCCACGGCTGTTTGAACGCACTATCCTACTAATATTATAAATGAGAAAGTTTGGATGTATGGATTTATGGATGTATGTTTGTGACAAGTAAACGCGAAAAATACTGGTCGGATCGGGCTCAAATTTGGTGTGATGATAGTTCACATTCCCGATTAACATATAGACGCATTCTTATCTCAAAAGTCCTTTCGGGCTCCGCCCCAGTGGCTCTGAAATTTCCCATGTTAACCTTGTGAGTAATCATATTTAAAAGGAATAAAAGAATTTTGTCAGCTGTTTCAACTACACAAGTTGGTTCTATGATAATAAATAGCATTAAAAAGTTATAAGGTTTACCAACAGGGTGCAGTACTATTAACTTTTTTGCATTTTCTGTCCTCTTCCTGTTGCAAAGCACGGGTACAACAGCTAGTAAATAAATAAATAAATAAAATCTATGAACTAAGACAAAAACCTACCAGTTTGGACAGTTCGGAGGACCAAGTGTTGGTAGTGAGGATGTGTTTCCGAGGTATCCAGTGCTCGTAGACCCAGCAGAGTTGTTCGATCGCAGCTCTGCCTTCTGCCGAGTCCTCGTCACCACCAATCAGGACTCTGTCAGCATTCAGAAGATCCTCGATTGCCGTCCCTTCAGCCAGGAATTCTGGGTTTGACAGGATCTAACAGTAAATTACCTAGATAAATTTTTAATTTCAGGTAACAGAATGATTGTTTAGACCATAGATTCATAGAGCATTCTCCCTTGATTACAAATGTAATTTTCAAATCCTTGATGACAAGGACAAGTCTCATTTTAAATGTACCAGCGTTGAATTTCAGATACTGTAGTAGACATCCCATCTATATGGACCAGGTGTAGTAGCTATTATAGTGTATTTATTATTGTAAAACAGTAGTACTCATAGTGAGCTACTGTCTACAATTCTATCTTCCCTCTTAGCTTTTGTTAGAGAGATAGTTGATGTGACATGAAATATGCTATAGCTTACAATAAGTCATCCAATCTGTTTTTTTTATGTTTTTTTTTTTACAAAAAAGCTTATGTATTCAACAGAAATTGGTTATTTACAATGACACATTGTCTCAAAGGCTAAATCAGCGATGTTCATTTTGACTCTAAATGTAGCACCAATTTGAACATGGGAATGGTCAAGCTCTATAGTCAAAGATAATAGCCAATACCACACCCTTTCCTTACAAACAGTGCGCTAATGAGGGTCAAGAAATCTCATTATTACACTTATAAGCTGCTCATGCAAAAATTGTTGGTTGTTATTTGTAAGTAAAGTTATTACAAGTTTTATTTGCTGCAAATCAAATTAGATGTTTTTATCTCCTGATAAGTCGAATCAATCACCATCAAAGGGATTATTATATCAGTTTAACAACTCGTTACACTAATGCAGTTTAATCTTGCTCTCTTCACTAATCAAAATAACACATTGATCAAATGTTTTGTTTTGTACAGTTATAAGAGTTATTAGCAAAACAGATAATTGAAAAACACACAAATTTTGGTGCACATGCATATGGGGTTTTGGGTAATTGTTGGGGAAACCCATGGTTTAGCAATAAATTTTGAAACTCAGGATGTCAGCGCATTGGCAACACAGCTGGATAACTGGTAGAAGCAATTAAAATAAAATGGAAAGATGAATGTGTAGGGCGAGCTTGGACATCTGTTTTTCACAAACAGCTATTGCGAGTCGACCTTGAACTAGGAGATAAGAGCCCCCTTGCCTTCAGCGAGGTGGAACTAATTTAAATCTAAGACTTACCTTACGATCCAATTTATTTTATCGGAGACCTAGGTTTCTACGTCGAAACGTTATCGTCAGTCCTTTGTCTCATAGGCTAGCTAAAAATCTCAAGTTCTCTTACTTGAGATATTGTTGATTTGGTATAATTTGTACAAACATTAAACACCTATAAATATTTACAAAGACATAAATGAAAACAACTTAGATACATGGCCATGATTTTCTTTATCAATCCTAACCTCCAAAGTTGGGATGTCCCCAATTCAGACGTTTTGTTCAAACTAAGAAAAGTCAGACACATCTGACGTTGAAAACAAAGAATGAAAATGTTTCAAAACAATACCCAAGACATGTTGAATTACCTGATAAGACACTCCTGGTCGCTGATTGGCCTTCAGTATGTTCATGATGCTCTCAGCTGCTCGGACGGGCACTGTGCTCTTCTCTACGACAATCTTGTGACCTGTGGCTACTTCAGCTATCAGCCTCGCAGCTCCTTCTACGTACTTCAGGTCAGCTGCTCGACCCTACACAAACTTATGGTATCAGCTGATTACATGGCATTAAATTTTTAAAAGGTTAATTTTCTACTTATGTCGGCAAATTTATGAAATTGATATGTATACTGTGACTTATCATGATAATTTAAGGGTTGAAACCATGATGGTAATCACAAAGCTAATACCAGATATGGAGCTAAAACGGATATATGGATGTGTGATTGTCAATGTACCCCAATAAAAAAATTACAATTACTTTGTACAAAATAAAAGGGGTTAAACAATAGGAAATTAATCATGTAGGGTATGTCAATATAGTTGTTACGCAATAAATTGGAGTGGAACCATTACCTTTCCATTGCCGAAAGCTTTAGTAGGAGTATTAACTGAAATGAAAATGAGATCTGCCGCAATAATTGCTGTTTCCACATCTGAAGTAAAAAACAAATTGACCCCTCTACACCTCCGGACCACTTCATCTAGGCCAGGCTGAAACAGAAATGTAAACTGTTAACCTTTGACTATTAATAAACTTAATATGTACCATATATTGCAAATCAATCATCAAAACAAACATTTGAAGTTATAAATTTTAAACACTGATTATAGACAAAAAATATAGGCTAATTAATTGTAAAGTTACTTTTCAAATTTTGAGGGATAAAATATTGTTAGAGTAACAAACAATTACGGTAATCTAATTACTGTGTTTAATAGACTTTTAAGTAGCCATGACTAGAAACTTTGTAATGAGTAACGGTAGGAATTTATTTTAATATCAAGAATGATTTTTTTATGGGAAGAAACACATGATAAGGACAGTAATTTGAATAAAAATAAAATTAGACTTTTTATCTAATTTTAAATCATTTTAGGAGTGAAATGAAAATATAAATATTTGAATATTTACATTCTGTTGAGGACTCTTTACTACATCCTTTGGGAATTTAGTAGCGCTTATCATTTGACACCACCCATACAGTTGTTGATAACAGTTAGGCCCTGATAAGCCAGTTAACATACTAAGGTTGACAACTAACTGCTCAGAATTCTAACAAACACATGTAAACATTTTGAAATAGGTAACAATAAAGTAATTGCATATTATTCTCCAACGAGTAAATTTCAAAATATGACGTCATTGACATAGTAGCCTTGATTAATAGTTACTATATTAATTGATTTTTATTCTTATATTCACTATTTTACAAGTTTAAATGTGCCCAATTTTGAAGTAGACTAACTTTAACAACCTTTTTTGTGTTACTACTTACTAAAACTAGCTGTTACCCACGGGCTTCATAAGTATTAATAAAACTATTGATTGGTTAAGTTAAGCTGAAATAAACAAAACAGAATACAGTAATACAAACAAATAATCACACCTGATTTTAATAAGGTAATAAATTGATGAATAACATAGGCCTACAAATAATTACAGCTGGGTCATTTTTAACATTAGGTTTATGGAAAGTTCCCTTTAGAAATAATTACGACCTTAAAGGGCAATTTATGAAATAATGGATAGTTTTGTGCAAGGTTTCTGTCATAACGAACATTTTAAGTATATGGTTTGTGAGGGTGCGACTTGTGGTTATATCTCAAAAGTTCACGGGTACTTTGGGATTTATGGATTATGCAGTAGAGACTGTGCAAACACAATATAGGCTACAGTTCAAATTATATAGGCCCACAAAATGATTGTTATAAGTAATTATTATTGTTATATAGGTAATGATTGTTATTCATTGCATAAAATTAGTACAAAGAATCAATAAAATAACCAGTTAGATAACCAACCTTAGACCGTAAAGAAACCTTACAAGTCTGCAAACAATAAATGTTGCTTTTTTGAGGGATTAATTGTTGTCTTAGCTACCGTGTTTTTCAGGTTGTCTAGTAATCTTACCGTGTTCTAGGTTCCTTTCACCTAGCTAGGGTTTTGAAAAGTTATGAAACTTTTTTACAGGATTGGATTCCGGATCTCAAAACACTATGAAACCTAAGTTTTTTAGTTTTTTAGTGATGGAAAAATGTCTACAAAATAGAATTAAACAACTAATCATGCCTACAACTTACTTCATATATTGGTAGTTTATCCGAATTCCACTGGGCAATCCGTTCCTGGCTTAAATCCACAACGGTTACCCGGATGTCTGGGCACTTCAATGCTATGACACTGCAGGTTGGACCCCCTACATAGCCAGCTCCCAAGCAGCAAATATTTGTTACAACCATTTTTCTGAAATCATTGGGCTTTCATTAGTCCACTATATTGCTCAATAAACTGTGATTAAAAAGACCTAGATGTAACGGCAACAATCATTAAAATTAGCATTAGGATTTTGCCTCTTACTAGCTCACTAATAATGTGGGCTGCACTTTAGTTTACGTCCTACACTCATTCAAATGAAAAATATCGATACATAGATTATTCAATATATCGATTATTTCATTCGGTTAGTTAGATTGGGTTTTAACCTAACTAACCAAACTTGATATATCGAATGAAATAATCAATATATCGATCGATATATTTATTCGAATGAGTGTAGGACGTAAACTAAAGTGCAGCCATAATGTGTCCTAATACTAGGTGAACTGAACATGAACCATATTTGCAATTGAGCTTGTTTATGTCACAATCTAAAAACCAAGGTAACTTATAGTAGGGTACCTGACAAGAGTAGGAATTTGTTGCGGTCCTTACAAAAAAAATAATAGCCTAAATGCCAATAACTTAGAACAGATAGGCCTACAAATTTAAGAATAACTTAAGTGTGATTCCTCAAAGCCTTGGTAAGTTTAACTGACCAGAATCAACTTATTTCAGAAACATTAACTAGAAGTCAAACATAAGGCAAAACTCTGGCACTAGACTCCATCTTAGTATCGAACCAAAACTATATCCAATCAATGACTGCCTACAAAAAGTAACTTAAAATAAACTAAACTAAGCTAAAATAAAATAAACTAAACTTAAAGTAGCATAACCGAACAACATGGCTATATTGGCCTAGAAATGATGATAATAAATCTCATAAAATGTGTATTATCATACCCTATTGTTATAGAATCAAATCCAATTGATACCCTGTAAATAAAGCAATAAAGCATGCATCAAATGAAAGCTTACAAGACTTTAACCTAAAGGGTATTGGGAGTTGGGACTGAAGTAGCATGCAGGATAAATGCAGAGCCTAGGCAGTTTAACATTTTAGACAACCATCTAAATTAATCCCTATTACTATTTTCAGAACTCACCTATTTTAATCAAGCACTCTGGATTCGTCTTCCTATTAATTTGTATTACTGCTTAAATAAAATTAGTTTGGTTCTGTTAGGTGTACAGGAAAATAAGTTAAATTCTATTTTAAGTAATGAATTATTTGATTACATTTGTAAAACAAAATTATGACTATAATGTTTAGAATGGGAACCTATTACATCAAATTAATATTTAAGATTTAATAATAACACAGTAATAAAACTAACTAACAAGAATGTATAATAAAATTTTAATAATATAATGTTTGTGTTACACAAACATTTACAGGTCAATGACAGCCAGACAGCCACAGCAGAAGACGCCGAGCCGACAGAACGTTAACTAAACTGCTTGAGTCGTTGGAGTGAACCGTGCAGTACAGACTGTAGAGAAAAGAGGAACAGAGAGAAGAAAAACACTATAACTGCAACTAACTGAAACAACAGGACTAAACCACTCTTGACCGGTGGGGGTAATTATTACAACACAATTGGACAGTTCCCTCATAACAAACGAGAAATTTGCAGACAATTGTTACAACTACAAACCTCATATACAATTAAGGGCAAACACGTTTAAAGTATCTATATTATTAAAGGAATTTGTTTGATTTTTTAAATCAGCAAATCAACCCCTAAGTATATTTTTTAAAGGCATACTGGTTGTCAATGTCTCTTATCCTCTTCCTTCAATTCCTTCTTCAATTTCTAAAAAGCTCGTACCCTCAAGATGCCTTTTACGGGTTTGGATGTTATCCAGTGAAAGCCCTTCGTCCTATCATAGATAAAAATAATTAAATATTTAATTATTTTTGTCTATGGTCCTATACGCTTTTAAAATTTCAGAGTTGTGCTGAATTCTATTGGCAATCATCAGCATTTTTTCAAGTTTACATTATTGTTTACATCAAAACATGGCCATGATAATTTTGTTTACATCCATTACGAAAATGGGGTAATTGTTACAGTAGGTTATGATTTAGTGTATCAAGTAAAATATTGTAATGTTATTATTTGTATAAAATGTAAAGAATAATAGATAAATTACTTGCGTTTAGGTTTTATCTGTGGTTTTGTGTTTTGCAATAGAAAATTTTAAATTAATTCAAATATTATTATATTATGGCTGCTAGTCTTATAAAAATGTCCACACAAGATTAGTACGATAATATTTCATACCTAAGCCATATTGTTATATTTTAACGTAAGCTCTACCTGTATTAGTTGTTTCAAACACACATCACAGTTTAGTTTTACACCCAAGACCCTAGTATTAGTAAGTTTGCTAATCTGAATATATATTGTTACCTTATATTTAAACTAGCTGTACCCGCGGGCTTTGCCCCGTTTTACTTCATAAGTGAGCTCGTTTGCATGGCTCAATTACGTCCTGGTTGAAGTTCGTTCGCTACGCTCACTCACCTATTGGTTGGAACTCGTTCGCTGCGCTCACTTGCCTTCAGGTTAGCTCGTTTGCTACGCTAACTCGCCTCCAGGTTGAAGTTCGTTCGCTACGCTCACTCACCTTTTGGTTGCAAATTAGCTGTAGTCATAAATTTTAAAAAATAGTGCTGCACCCTGTTGGTAATCCTTGTAACTTAAATGCTATTGCACATCATAGGAAAGAACCAACTTGTTTAATTGAAACAGCTGTTAATATTCATTAATTCCATTTAAATATGAGTACTCATAAGGTTAACATGGGAAACTCCAGAGCCACTGGGGCGGAGCCCGAGAGTTTAAATTATTGTCTAGCAGATAAAATAGATGAAGTTGGCAAACTAGGTTAACTGATCGGTTCCTTCTTTTCCTGACATCACCCCTTATGATAGAGTTTACCCATTTAGGGTAAATAAGGGACATTGTCTTACAGACAAAATATCTCAGTTAATAAATTAGGCCTAAAGAAATAAATGACTAAAGCATTTCTCTAAAATTAAAACATAGAATGCAATAAAACCCGATTTTTAAACATGAATTTAAAATGGAAATTGCATTATTTGGTGTAATGGAGAAAGGCATTCATCATAATGTTCTTTCTTAGTTCATTAACTGAGATGTTTTTGGCCAGTAGACAGTGTCTTTTATTCACCAAATAAGGAGTAAAACAAAGTGATTTTGAAAATAACTAGTAAGCCAGAGTATGCTAACCTCGTCCATTAAATCTGCTAGTCAAAACTTTCTATTTTAGGTCACAATACCTGTTTGGATGAACAAACTTAAGTTAAAATCAAAGTTACAAAGTAAGTTAAGTATTCTTATCTCAAAAATCCTTTCAGGCTCCGCTCCAGTGGCTCTAGAGTTCTCCATGGTACTCTTATGGGTTTTAAAAAGGAATGAAATATTTGTTTCTGCTGATTCAACTGAACAAGTTGGTTCTATGATATTAAATAGCATTAAACAGTTATTAGGTTTACCAATAAATGGATTTTCTAAAAAATGGCCCGAATTATTATGATAAAAATGTAGTACCTATGTTATAGTCCTTTAAATCCTGAAAAAAATTGTACAAATCCCATTTCCGTATATTTACTCTCACCGCTTACACATGATAAAGGTTGTTGACAAACTTATGGGAGAAAGTATGTGTCAGAATGCTGATACAGTTTATTCCAATTTATGATAACAGCTAATTTGAAGTAAGCAGCATCAAAAAGCTGTAATACACAATGAGAACTGTCAAAGTAGGATTGTTTACAGTTATTTTTATGTTTTTAATTTAATAAATTATTAATTTGTGATATTGTGAAAATGTTTGCTAATTTACTTTTTTACTAAAAATTTTGATCGTTTAGGTGCATTGGGAGAACAGTATGGCTAAATGGTAGATGTACTATAGCATACAGTAAATATAAAAAACCAAAATTTTCAAACCTTATCCTCCCCCATTGCAAACTCAAAGCACGTGTATAACTGAAATAACCATTTTACTTATACGCCAACCCCAACGGGTACTCTGCTAGTACGACATAATTTCAAGGAAATTGTGTATACTTCTGTTTTTAGCAGTCCTAAAACTGTGCAGTCAGTTAAAATGCAATAGAGGCGAATTCAATTGCCAAGTAGAGTCACATCACATCTGTTGGTGGTATGCAGTTACATCAGATAATGACCCCCAACCAGTGACGTAAGCGAGTCGGAGTCGGAAGTAAGATGGATGAAGGTATGTAATGACGGTCACTCTCCCATGACCTTCGTAATGACCTACACACGTGACTCATCGATGGAAGTGGGCATGAAGAACTGATGAAGTAATGGAAATCCTATAATCTCCTCGATTGAAAGCTGAAATGACTAAACCAAGAATAAATGAGGTGGAATGGATGAGTATTTAAACTATTTAAGAAAAAATTAAACCACATAAAAGTGAGCATATAGTTGTCTATTTGAATACGGATGAGGCACAGTTTAAGCAAACACACAAACTTTCACTTATAATATTAGTAAGATAAAACAAGTTATAGTGTTATTGTTATAAAGTAAATGGTAAATGGCTATAATTATTTATACATTCCAACGGCGAAGCTATTGAAAATATATTTACCAAAAATGTTTCTACTGACTAACAATGAAATAACAAAGTAACAATCAATATACCGGTATATAACTAAAAATTAACAAGTAGATAACCCATGCTGCTCCGCAGCGTTGAAATAAATATATCATATTTATAATTTTTTAAGTTAAGTAATACATAGTATCTTGAACTTAACTGATTCAAACGATCAATATAGCTCAAATTAAAGCCTAGTGTACGGATTATTTTGAGTTTAAAACATATAAAAAAACATAAACAGCACAGAAGCTATTAATTTTTAATCATATAAAACATAAAAAAAATAATTTTGAAGTTGGTTGTTTACCTTGCATTTGCTTGTAACTTGTCCAATTTAAGTAACTATATAATAGCTTATATGAAAACCGGTATTTCACTGAAGGTTCTTAGACCAAAATATAGGATTATTTATATCCTAAATTGAAGTAACAAGTAAGATACAGTAATTATTTACCTATCTTGCCTGAAGGTCTTGTAGTTAACACTCGATTAACACTCGATGCGCATTTCGCCGCTCAGTGCGGCATCTTCATAGAGTATCTTCTTAAACACTACTGTTACTATGTACATATTTACAATATGTTTTCCAGTCACTAACCGGTCAGTTGGTCACCGGTTGGTAACCGGTTTTCCAGGCAGTGACCGGTTAGTGACTGGAAAACATATTGTAAATATGTACATAGTAACAGTAGTGTTTAAGAAGATACTCTATGAAGATGCCGCACTGAGCGGCGAAATGCGCATCGAGTGTTAATCGAGTGTTAACTACAAGACCTTCAGGCAAGATAGGTAAATAATTACTGTATAATACAGGTCTTGTCACTGGGTTCAAAAAACATTGAACAAGTAAGAATAAAAAAATTAATCAAATTTATGTTTTTGTCGCTTAATACAGTAGATAAATACATGCCGATGCTTGATGTAAAATCTGTGCGTTCATACCTTCATTTTGAGACCTCAATCATGAAAATCGGTCGGGTAGAAGAACCAAACGAACTCGAAAAGGAAAACAAAATTTAACTCCCATAAGAAATACATGGGGAGCAAATTTCGTTTACGTATAAGCCGAGCGGGACTGTAGATAAAAAATATATTCCGATGCTTGGTGTGAAATCTGTGTATGCAAACCTTTAATTTGAGACCTCAATCATGAAAATTGGTCTGGTAGAAGAGCCAAACGAACTCGGAAAAGAAAACCAATTTTTCTTTTTAAATATATAAGATATTTGTATAAAACCCAACAAAAATAATTAATATGGTGACTAACAACACTAACGAAATATTCAAAAAATAATTTAGAGAACTTAACAATTAATTGACATGTCGCTTAAGTTCTACCATAGGATAAAACGTATTCTCAATTTGATTCTACGTTCTACCATGGATAAAACTCTCGGTTCTACCCTTATATTTGAGTTGTTTAGTTGACGCATTAAAAAGAGTTACCATAGACTTACCAGAATACAAGACAAGTAGACTTCTAATCCCATTGTAAATGTTGAAGCTCAATTTTCGTGTCTAGTTCATGACCAGTGATACTTATCGGTATCGCTATAGTTTAGACGAAATTTCATTTCTATTATTTTAGGGTTAATTTCATGATTTGTGCTTTACTGGTAGTTATATATTACTACGGGACGAGTTATTGTTTATAATTGGATCATTTTATTTTATTTGATTAAATGAGGTTTTAAATGACTGAAATAACAATAAACAAATTGTAAACAAAACACGACCTCTACCAAGGCCACACAAGCACCACAATATGGGGCCTTGCCTCTACAGTGCACCGGACAGAACAGAAATGAAAATAAAATTGTTTTTAGCTGATCCATAAGGGTGAGAAACATGGTGGAGGGGGTGAGAAATATACTAAGGGAGCATTGTGCTATCTATGGTTATACTCGTACTGCAGACTAACAATCATCATCATTCTTTATTGATTTCCCCCTCAAAGGGTGTACATAAAATAATTGACTTAATTATTACAATAAAAAGTGACTTACACAATTAAGTTAAGTGAAGTGAATAAGGAAACAGGTCCACGACGTAGGCAGTGGTGAGTGGTGTGGTGAAGGAAGTAGTAAAGGCTAGCAGTGTGAAGTGTGGGAACTGTTTGTGGCAATTAATTAGATTAATGTATCGGCAATACTAAAATGTTATGGGAAGGGAGGGAAACAGGTCTACGACGTAGGAAGTGGTGAAGGAAGTAGTAAAGGCTAGCAGTGCAGAGTGTGGGAACTATTTGTAGCTGTTAGATTAATGTATCTGCAATAATTAAATGCTATGAGAAGGAAAGGAAACAGGTCCACGACGTAGGAAATGGTAAAGGAAGTATTAAAGGCTAGCAGTGTGAAGTGTGGGAACTGTCTGTGGCAATTAGATTAATTTATCGGCAATCCTAAAATTCTATGGGAATGGAGGGAAACAGGTCCACGATGTAGGAAGTGGTGAAGGAAGTAGTAAAGGCGAGCAGTGTGGATTGTGGGAATTGATTAATGCATCTGCAATAAGCTTGGTCCCCAGGTACTAGTATTTTTGGAATGTGTTATAAATCCATGTATATGATCATACTTGTATAAAGTAGTTTTGATTTATGACTAGTCAATCGGTCATTTCACTGCTACATGGGTTTCTTAAATTTGCTGCTTTGAATTAGAAAAAAATGTAAAGAAGCAAAAGACATAACCTAAAATGACAGAAACATAAACATAAACAACAAAAACAACAACCGGAACAACCAATATTTATTTTCATACATAGTAATGGTAAACAAACACAAAGAGATATTTTAATTGAGTTTGATTACGCATTATTAATCTTTTAACAGAGATTCACTTGTTAATGAAAATTGTGTTGTGGGAATAAATTTTGCTTAAAAAATGGCTGACACAGACATTACTTGGAATCTTATTACTGCAGCGTTCCCTATACTGATGGATAAGGTTAGTTTAGGCTATATTTTACTTTATGATAAGTAAGCCTAGGGCCTCATTAGCATTCATTGGCTTTGAAGTCTATTAGGCATTGTAAAAACATGTCTATCAAATAAGTGATTTCCTAAAAATAATTGTAATATTAAAACCATTTTTAAAGGGCTGCACTTTACTTGACGTCCTACACTCATTCGAATGAAAATATCGATCGATATATCGATATATCGATTGCTTCATTCGATATATCGTTAGGTAAGTTAGGTAAGGTTAACCTAACCTAACTAACCAAACGATATATCGAATGAAACAATCGAATGAAAATATCGAATTGGAAAAACAATCGAATGAGTGTAGGACGTCAAGTAAAGTGCAGCCTTTTAAAGTAGCCTAACACAGGCTTTTTATTTTCTTAAGTTACTTCAATTCAAATCTTGTTTACAAGAATAACAATCCTTATAACTAACCAAACGATATATCGAATGAAAATATCAAATCGAAAAAAACAATCGAATGAGTGTAGGACGTCAAGTAAAGTGCAGCCCAAGTATATAATACTTGAAGGCGATTTCTACGAAACACTACTCCTCTGTTAATAATGGACGGATTATTTCAAAGGATATGTCAAAATAAAGTATTTTTTGTCTAGACGCCCCCTTTCACCAATTCCTGTAATAAAAGTCCTCGGGCTTTGCCCCACAGACCATCAAAATCCCAATGTAGGCCTATTTCTTATGGAGAAAATAGTTTGCTAGCTGGACTTACTTAAACAGGTGAAGAAATTGTATTAATTACAGCTGTTCATAGTAAACACATAATACACAGAAGAGCGTTTAATTTCAGTTTCGATAACACGAGTGGAGTGATTGATTACATTATCGTTTAGGCCTAGTTGATTCTTTCAAGTAATAGGAAATTACGAATTTTACTAATTTTAGTCTTTTTGAAATAAGACCTGTAATAGGCTATTATAAAATTGCTCGAAATCGAGCAACAGGTGCACTAGTATTAGGCCTATTAAAAGTTAAACATATGAATTAAATCATGTGACTTGATTAAATGTACTAAGTCAGTGGAAAAAGAAACAACTTTGGGTACCGGTACCGTACAGTTTCTTAGGGTAGGCTAAATGGGCTATGGTAATATCGATTGAAACTATCGATTCGATTAGTAAACCATTGTTTGATTTTTCATTATCAGTAAGTTTGGTTAGTTAGGTTAGGTTATGACGGTTAAATAAAAAAAAAAAAAAAACTACCGTACCCACAACGTTAAACATTTTATAACAGGCCTTTTGCAGAGAAAATAAGTTCATTATTATTTCAGTGCCTGGAAGTTAATACCTAGGCCTATTAATAACATAAGCCATGACCACAGATTTAATTATTAAGTTACTGTAAAGATCTTTGAATGTTGATAAAAGGCAGAACTTTGGTGAGTTAGGTATCTGGTATCTGATTACATTATAATTAGGCATATCGATAAAAAGTTTAAAAATCTATCAGGCTCAGTTTGGTTGTTAATTGAATTGATACTTTTATGTTTTCGATAACTTAATTCGATGGTGTTGGATATCAAAGTTTCACCTAAAAAGAAACAATTATGTTCTTCAAATGAATGTAAAGCTACAGGAAGAGCATAAATTTGTTTATTTATATCATTTCAATTATGATAGATTAGCTTCTTTTAGCTTATACACATGGGCACACGTAGGCAAATGATTAGCCGTTACGGAATAAGAATGAACTGTATGATACAAGTTAAGTTACCATATTGAATTCATCAATTTAGCCTACTATGGACAGTGAAAGCTTTTTTGGAGGGAGCTACTTTTTGAGAACCAACTTAAATTTGTTTAGGTCTAAGTTACATCTTTCTTTGCAAAAAATAATGTTAAAACAATAAAAAAATTCCTCGTGGTGGGCTAAATTAATTTAAAGGATCTACACTTCATAATACACAGGTAGGCCTGTATATTTAAAGTTCTGCTTGGAGTTCTTGAATTTAACTAGCCTACATTAATTTCTAGTTTTACAAATTAGTAAATGAATGACCCATAAATTGTAATATATACTAATAGATGTGGTGCTAATAGACTTAAATAAATTTTGATTAGGCCTATAATTCTATTCTTATCTGTTTCAGGAAACAGGTAATCTTTCTACCAATGAAGAGCTTGAAGAGTTTAATGTTATTGCATACCAACTGAACAACAAACAGCTTATCCATTTTGTCGAAAGTATAATAATCGACAAAATAGAGCAAGACCTTCGCCAGAAAATAGCCCCTACGTTCTGGGAGAAGTTTACCTCGAGGGAAAGTGAAAATGATGGTTTTGAAAAGTTTAGGAAAGCTGTTGACTTTTTATACGATTCATCGCTCTTATATCTGCCGACAATTGAGCGAATGAGGCAACTTCGGAGTATTTCTTCTGTTAACCACCCTATCTATGGAGAAGTATCTCTAGTCAATGCGTTTAAAACTATTGTTCGAGCAACCTTGCACTCCCAGCTACCCTTGCGATATCAAGTAGTGACAGAAGACTTTTACAGGGTTACTTTCAAAGTATTCTGCAATATGGACAAAGAAACTGGTTAGTATTAATAGGCCTAGGCCTAATGAATTTTATATTGCGAAGTATGAAATATTTTCTCACCACATTAATTGATTAGTTTTGCAGGGCAAACCACGTTTGAATCCACGGTAGAGCCTATCCAATTTTATGTTCCTATTAATGCACTATACTACCAATACACTTTACCCAAGTGAGGTGTCTGTCCCTCACCATGGTTACAAGAGTGATTTCTCCCACTAGCTCTGTGTAGTGAAACAGTAGATATACTATCAATCAATCAAAATAACTTTATTCATATTGCACATTTTGTACAGAATGGAGTCAGTTATAAAAACACAATATTAAACTTAAGACTACTTACAAAGAATATTATTATAAAAAAATCAAATTTCAGGAAGTTGGAAAAAATCTTCTAATTTATACAAGGGTCTGTTGGTGAGAAATAATTTCAAACGTTTTTTAAATGAATTAAAATTACTTATATTTTTTATATTGTCAGGTAAGCTATTGAAATATTTAACACCACTATAAGATGGAATTTTTTCATAAACCGATAAATTATGTCTGTTGAACGCCAATTCATTACCTTTTCTGGTTGAATATGTATGAAAAGAGTTCAATTTTGGCAATCTTTCATGGTTTGATTTAATATATAGGGCTACTAGCTGACCCGGCGAACTTCGTATCGCCTAAGTTATAGGTTTCCCCTAAGACAGACCGATGGAAAGAAAGTACCGTTACGTTTAATTTTCAAGATGATCTCGTTCGCATCGCTCAATCACGTCCTGGTTGAAGTTCGTTCGCTACGCTCACTCACCTTTGGGTTGGAGCTCGTTCGCTGCGCTCACTTGCCTTTAGGTTGAAGTTCGTTCGCTACGCTCACTCACCTTTGGGTTGGAGCTCGTTCGCTGCGCTCACTTGCCTTTAGGTTGGAGCTCGTTCGCTACGCTAACTCGCCTCCAGGTTAGCTCGTTCGCTACGCTCACTCGCCTCCAGGTTGAAGTTCGTTCGCTACGCTCACTCACCTTTTGGTTGCAAATTAGCTGTTGTCATAAATGTAAAAGAAATAATAGTGCTAGTGCTACACCCTGTTGGTAATCCTTGTAACTTTAATGCTATTGAACATCATAGAACAGAACCAACTTGTTTAATTGAAACAGCTGTTAAGATTCATTAATTCCATTTCTCATAAGGTTAACATGGGAAACTCCAGAGCCACTGGGGTGGAGCCCTTTTAAGAATTTCGAAACGGGAAATAGTTTACGTCCGATTCGCATACCTACAGAATTTACACACCAAATTTCATAACGATCGGTGAAGTCGTTCCGGAGGAGTTTGCAGACAAACACTGTGACACGAGAATTTTATATATTAGATTTGATAAATGTATAAGTTAAAAACAGTCATAATTCCTATTTCTTTAAACTGCTCTTTTGCGGATGTTTTTGACTTTAGTTTTAACATAATGCGAATTGCTTTTTTTTGAAGTTCCAGAATGCTATTTAGGTTAAAATTTGATGTGCCCCTATAAAGACATAATCCAAAAGAAATATGTGATTCAATTAAGGAATGATAACTATTTTTAAGGTTTTTAAACTACTAAATTTTGACATCTGTCTTAATGCATGTATGCCTGAGTTGACTTTATTACAAACGTTTTCAACATGACTGTCCCAGTTGAATTTATCACAGTGGCATGTCTAATATCTCCCTGCATTACTGGAAGGATTTACAAACAATAAATAAGCCACAGTGGTTTGAGTACAAATAAAACATACCTTATGATAATTTGCCTCAATAGAATCTCTATTAATGAAACTGTACAATAAATCCAAATATTTTCCATAAGTTTTATCTTTGATTTTGGCAGATGGTAATGACTCCGCAGAAGACGTTTTACACTGTGAGGGATGCGGGGTGGAAGTAGAGCTGTGCAATTGTAAATCAATCCTTGAAATATTCAATGACACCAATAGGTAAGTTTTTGTGACTGTTTATTTCAATAAATTATGTAGGCTAAATCATTAAAATTTGGTCGTCTAAATATGATTATGTTAATTGTTTAACTTAGTGGCATTATTTTTTAATGTTGTCTAAGTAGGCAAATTATATGGTCAAAGTTTTTAATATCTAGCATCAAACAATTGGTAAAAAGGATTAATAAATTTCATATATCAATATCCAACTCGATATAAAAAAATTGAGGTGCCAGAACTGTAACCTGTTAAATGTGATAAACAAGTACCTATTTATGGCAATATTTTCATCTTTCCGAAAGAGAGGTACCGGAATACCATTTTGACGCAAATCGAGTATTGTCAATAACCCTTATGACGTAGTCCTTTATTTAAACATCATAGAGTAATGTTAATTATTATTACTGTTTATGATAGCTTCATGGAGGGTCTTAACCCTTACGGTATGCCTTTGTGGAAAAGTGCACTGCAGGAGTGAAAATTCAGGATATCTACCGAGCTCCAGTTGATTTCACCAAGCCCTTTTTATAATCAATAACTTTCTTGACATACAAAGAGACCAGAAACCAGCCGCTTAGGGCCCTTTCATACGAGGCCACTGGTTGCCCGTCACAGCTTTAACATGATTTTAAATGGGAGCCTTCACATGCAGTCACTGCAGTTGCCCACTAAGACACAGTGGCCGAGCAGTGTCTCATCGCGCAACTGCTAGTCGGCAACTGCAGTGGCAGCAACTAGTCGCGGGCATTGAATTTAATGGGAGCTTTCACACAAAGCAACCAGAAGCTACCACCGTGGATGAGGGTGCAGCTACTATTTTGGTTCAGTTTACGTGCAGACTGCAGAGACAAACACAATGTGGTACTGGTTGAGTGTTTTAGTGTTGAATTCTTTGTTTGTGAAAATGAGTGATCAGAAGAAAAAAAGAGGATGTTGCTGAAAAAGAAGAAGACAAAGGAAGAAGAACATAATAAGAGACCAAACAAAATAATAGAAGACAAAATGAATACTGAAGATCTAATTTGCGAAATTGAAAACTAACTGGCAATTTGGTATAGTATGCCTGTGTCCTTCGCCTTCTTTTCTTTATTATCAACGCGAGAAGAAGGAGATGTTCATTGTTCAACAGCATTTTCGCAACCACCATTGTACAGTGGCTGTAGTGGAGTGGCTTGTAAGTTGCTGTACCATCCACTGCAGTTGCCCGGCCGGTAACCGGTGGCAGACACCGGTGTCCGCCACCAGTAGCCTTTTGTGAAAGGGCCCTTACTGTGTAATGTGGGAAAAAAGGGTTAAACGTTTTTCAAAGTAATAAATGATGAGAGAACAGAAAAAATAATCTTAACTAACCTCATAGATTGCTAGCTTGTGTATCACTGCTGATATCTGGTAGTCTTTTTAGGAAACTCATAGAACTTGACCTACTTGAGAGGTTAGCAGGAGAAGTTTTGACTTCGCTTATTCACAAAAGAATAGAAAATCATGTTCAAGAAACATGCAAGGGAAGCTTTGATACGTCACATATTACTTCTTTGGAAAATGTAAGTAGCCTTGTCCAGTGTTTTAGACTCTACTCTAGTATAGATAATTTTTATCTATACTAGAGTAGAATAATTTGTGCTGCTATGCAGCATTGAAATATGTTTTTTTGATTGAGTAATACAGTATCTTCAACTTAACTGATTGAAACATTCAATATCTCAAATGAAGGTTTTTATTTCTGGGAGTATTTTAAGACCAAGAAAAACAACTAAAATAAAAATTGAGTTATGTATAATTGATTGCAGATAAGTCCAAAAGAATTATAATTATAGTTTATTCGGGATGCAGCAGCGTGCTTCAGGTACCTCCAATCTTAATAATCAATAGCTCAAGTATAAGCGGCCATTTTACTTTTAAGGTTCGTACTTAAGGTTCGTAGAGCAAAACATTATAAGATAATGTTATTATATCTGGTGAAATATATCTTCAATTGATGTAAGAAAAAAAAAAAATCAAATTTATGTTTTTTGTCAAGTAATACAGTAGATAAATGAATAATAATGTTTGATGGCAAATGTAATGACCAAGATTATGAAAACCGGTCGGGTAGAAGAGCCAAACAAACCCGGAAAAGTAGAGGAAGGAAGTTTCTTATGTGCATAACTCGAAATATATCTCAGTTAAACGAATGCTCCAGATACACAGCTGATTAAAAATAATTAAATTAATTAATTAGGGATAGGTATCAATTTAACAAGTTTTCAATAAGATTTCACCTGTGTTTGCAGTGGTTGGACACCGTTGTGATGGGCTGGCTCACCAAGATATACTGGAGCAGTGATGCTATCCAAAATGTTGACGCATCTCTTGCAAAGTTCAGGCAGAAACTGAAACATTTGCTCTACGAGACTTACACAAGAACTCGGATCGAACAGCTGTTCAATATCATTATTGGTAATTTACCAAAAATTTAATTATTAAATGCTCACAAGAAGATATATTCGTAGAACAAAGTTTTAATTGCAAGGATTTTAAAATACATTTTTTATTTAAGTTTATACAAGTTAAACTTATTTGGTATATATTATATGTTATCTAGAAGCGAATTAAAAAATAAAATCAAACATTAGGCAGTTGTAATCTCTTTCAACTGTTAGGAACTTGTTTTTCTTTTGGAACCGAAGTCTCAAGTAGCTAAAAATATTCCCCAATAAAATAATTGTATTTTTATTACATTTTTTGTATGTGTTAAAGTCGTGTCACATTTTATGTTTCCCTACAATAAAATTGACTTTTAGCCTAACACTTCAGACGGATTGAAATCTGAAAATTTTTTGGTAATTTTAATTTATGACTGTGTTGACAGGGTAATACATGTTACTCTTTACTTTAGCAGGTTTCAATGTTCATAATAATGGCAACACAAGATTGGAACCATTTTATTTGCAAGGGTTAAAAATTTATGACGTTTTTTTTCCAATCCGGCTCCAGACATGCGCCATTTGCAAAGCATGAAATATATGATGTTCCGCGATCTAGTTGTCTTGTTATTCGCCGATTTACGAGTAGATGTCTACACACATGTGTTGTTTTCTTAGCAACTGTTCGTTTTGGAAATAGCAAAAATATTCGTTCACTTTGATGTGAGTAAAAATACCGACAATGAATGGGAAAACACGAGCACGAATGGTTGCTGCTTGCCAAATAGTCAAACACCTATCCACACTACTCGCGATTCGGCGAGTCGCTGTTTGGTACTTTGCGAATTGCTAATGTCTGGAGCCGCCTTAGCAAGATGTCTTTTTGACCCTTGTTAATTTTCTAACTTACGTCCGTTCTGACTTTGGTCGTTAAACTAGAATCTGTGTTGAAAAGAATCACTAGTAATATGTTGTCTGGAACTTTAGAGAGTTCTGGATTATAACTTTATAACCCATTTACACATTTATAACTTTATACACATTTACAACTTCACCATTGACCATTCACACCATTGTACCATTCACATGGTACATTTATAACTTTGATCTGATGTTATACAGAGTATCCAGACTCAGAACCAGCTATAGAGGATCTGCGAGTGTGTCTGCTCAAGACAGACCTGCGCCAGTGTCTGGTACAGAAGCTTCAGAGAGCTCTGGAGACTCGTCTGCTACACCCTGGGGTCAACACTCCTGACATCCTCACAGCCTACATCGCTGCCATCAAGGCCCTGCGCCAGCTAGACCCCACCGGCGTCCTGCTTGAGATGGTCACTCTGCCTGTCAGGTAGGTCCAAAGTCGCACAATTTGGGGAGTTATAATGATTAGTTTTTCAACCTTTGGTGGTTGGATCAAACTAGACATTTAATCCCCATTTTAAGTTGTATCCAGTTTTAGAAAGAAAGTGAATGTTGTTAGATTCAGCCTTTAACAGAGTGTGATCATGTAAATTACCGTCATCTGTCGAATACATTTAAACTTGTTGACCTAAACAAACTGATAGGAAAACGTATTTGTAAGCTATAGTATCATGACGTAATCAACTATGACAGTATATAAAAATAAAAGAGAAATTAGGCTGGCACATTCTGTGAGTAGCTCATTCAACTATGTCCTTTTCTTATAAAGTTTGGCTCCAGCTGGTTACATAGATGGGATGTATACTTTAGTATCCAAATGTTAATAGGAATTAGTCCTTAGCTAACTCACCTGAATTGAGTGTCAGGTTGTTGTGGATATAAAATAGATTCACATCCGTACAAGATACAGTTTTGAGTTTTTGTGGATCACAGTAATTTTCCAATCGAAATCAGACTGGTTTATTTAGAACCTTAATTTTATTTTAAAACTTCTGACATCTGTAGAACCAAATTTAAAAGTGTACTAATGTCAATTCCAAATCGTGGAATGTTGTATAACACGATGTTTATTGTGGTTATTTGGAATTCATGATCACTAGGCCACCCTGATTCAGGGTTCAAGGGTGCGTAAATTTTTAATGTTTAGCGTAGACAGCTTATAGTCTACAGCTTGAAGCTAATGGTGATTGACAGGATGTCAACCCGTGCCACCAGTACAGAAGGTCTGCACTGTAACAATCAGCTCAGTCGCACCACCGTCAGGTTGTAAAGACATTGTTATAGTGTTTGTCCTGTGACAGACAATACCTACGTAGTCGTGAGGACACAGTGCGTTGTGTGGTGACCAGCTTGACAGACGACGGACCCAACGATCTCGCAGAGGAGTTGGCGAGAGGAGAAGCGTTGCAGGTGTACGACAACTCTCCACACGAAGTAGACGTTGAGAACTGGGCAACATGGAACCCGGACCCTATAGACGCTGATCCTTGTGAGTGTTTGATTATTTGACTAACCTAATAAATAATAAGTAAGGAAAAGTCCTTTATTTTCAAGCGACTCTTATTTTAAAACCAATTGTCAGAATAACTTGAAAGTTATCAACAAAAGATTTCCAACAATAAAACTAACCTCTGCTACAGTATTGATGTGTTAGCACTACTGTTGATGGGGCACATCATTTTAGCACATTGTTGTAGTGCTTATTTTGCAATTGAAAGTTAGTCCATTTCATTATAATCAAGCTGTGTTAAAAATAAGAGTCATTGTTTTTATTTAGAAATACAGTAGAACCTCTTTAATCTGATCCCCCGTAATCCGAATGTCCACTAATCCGAACACCTCATTGCTGTACTATATACACAGTACAGCAGTTCTTTATTGTATACTGTATATAATTTACAGTACTGTTTATTCACCATGTTTAGGCCTACTAATGTATTAAATAAACACTGTATTTTACTTTATAAAACATTTTTCACTTTCCCCAAAATAATATTGATCAAGTTTAGCCATGTTTTAGCTATTGTTGTGTAAAAACAACAATATGTTCTGTAATCCGAACTATTCAATAGTCCGAACTACCCCTGGTCCCAATTAGTTCGGATTAAAGAGGTTCTACTAGTTTATTGTACTAGTTTAATTGAGATTGGTGCCAACATTGATTTACATTGAAAAAATGTTCTTAATCAAGTTTCTTACAGTTATTTAAAATAATTTAATACTTGATAGAACAATTATAATCATCTATTCAGGGTTTATTCAAACTCAACAAATTGCAAAATACCATAGCACCTAAACTTAAAATGCTTAATTTATCCTTGCATAATAAGTGTACGGTGTAGAATTGTTGAATGAGATCATTTGTTTCAGCCAAAACGTCTAAAAGTCGCAGAACATCGGACATCATATCCATGCTGGTCAACGTCTATGGAAGCAAAGAGCTTTTCGTCAGTGAATACAGGACTCTTCTTGCAGACAGATTGCTTTCCCAGTTCACCAACAACACTGATAAAGAAATCAGATATTTGGAACTGTTGAAAATAAGGTAATTTAAAAACATTCTATACAAATAATCATCGACAGTTGCGAAGCAAGGCCCTAATTGTGTCGTCTCCCTGACTTAGGAAAACTCAGGGTGGGTACTGAGAATTGCTACAAGCAACATTATCGTTCTTTCTGTTTTGTACATCAGGTTTTTAAACATTATCTTAAGTCATTTTTTGTATTTCATTTGAACTTCCAAATGTAGGACAACATATCAATCTTCAGCTACTAAAGCTAGAATAATATTTGTTTAGTCCAATTATAGATCTTTTCTCACAATTTCAGATTTGGAGAGTCGGAACTTCATTGTTGTGAAGTCATGTTGAAAGACATGTATGATTCAAAACGGATAAACGCACATCTGTTGTCCAACGCTAACTTCAATTTAGCTTCACAGGTAAGAAGATAAAAATATTTCATATTCATTATATACACTGTTCATAGTTACGAAAGTATAGCTCCTAAAAGGATTTTAAGGATTATTTAGGAGCTTTTTTATAAGTCCTTGTTTTCTCAGCAATTTTGTCTCAGTTTATGGTTGTTGTTTATGTTTTGTTTTGTAAATACACTAATTGTAGGGGCTTGTGACAAATTACAAAGACTCTAAAATACAACTATGCCCAGAACAAGATACTCAAGTCCCACCAGTCATTAGTGACAATTTCCTAAAAGATTAAACCTTTTGAAGGGGAAACGGAATATTTTGTGGGTTAGTATTTCAAATCCGGCGACCCGTAGGCCGTATGGCGCCAACTGAAGTTGCAGATCTAGCGATCTAATAAAAGTAAGATAGGTCTCTTCATGAAAACATGATCTCAATTGAAAATATCCTCCATAAACAGCTTTATATTTTAGTAATCTACTAAACACATTTCCCCAAATTTAAATTTAAATTTCTAAAACCCAGCCTAGAACCTATGATTTTGTTTCAAAGATATTGAACACCTAAATTAAGTTTAACATGGAATAATATTACTGGTTTTATAAGTGAAATGCTATTGATCTGATCACTCATGTCAAATGATAAACAAACTATATGTTTGCTCAGCTTTTGACAGTGGTGTTAACTCCTATGAAATAAATGTTGCAGCAGAAATATCCAGCAAATGCCATAATCCTATCAGCTCAGTTTTGGCCTCCGTTTAAAGAAGAGACAAAGCTGGAGTTGCCTGACATCGCTAAAGAACAGTTTGATATATACACCAAAGCGTTTGAAACTCTGAAAGTAAGTTTATCTCCAATCAATTAGCTATTTAACCCATTTAGGAAACATTTTAAGACCAATTTTTTCCTCAACAGTTTTGTCATTTGTACGATTTAATCAGTAATACTATCTTTTTTTTTATGTAGAATAGTGAGTGATGTTTTATTTACTGTTTTGAATGTGTTTCAGGGCAACAGGACGTTAAACTGGAAGCCTCACCTAGGCTCGGTTACCATTGAGATTGAACTGAAAGACAAAACTCTACAACTTACAGTGTCTCCAATACATGCAACCATCATCTGGCATTTTCAAGATAAAAGTAAATATTTATAATTTAATTTTGTTTTATAATTTCTTTCTATGACATATCAGGTTTCCTGCTTGCTTTAATCTTTACATAACACCTCTATGTGTAATTTATCTTTCCTGAGTTATCACAAGGAATTATTGAGAAAAAAATACATAATAAAGCCTATTGGTCTTATATTTTACACCATTACCATGATAAATTGAATACAAATTTTAAGGTAAGATTGAACTTAAGCAGTGTGCTAATCCTATAAATATTTTCAGCTCAATGGACAATTGAAGAATTAAGCCAAAAGATGCTGGTTCCATCCACCATTTTAAGGAGAAAAATCACCTTTTGGCAAACTCAGGTACGTTGGCTTTTAAGCAATAAATGATTAATAATTGTTCTTAATTTTGTTAAGTTAAAGAAAAATTGTAATAATATAATATGGCTATGGCCAAGGATAACTTATTCAGCAACTACCTAAATTTTTACTTCCCTACAGGAATATTCCAAATCCAAATTTAATAGCTGCTGAAGAATTGTTTTTAATGCCTTGAATTTCATGAACCATTTTGTATTTTATTATACTTTTTTCATCATGTTTTTTTCCATATCATGTCCACACAAATCCAAATTATATTTAGTCGAACCTCTCATATCTGACCATGACGGGACCGGGCCATTGTCCAAACAGCCAAAAGGTCAGATATCAGTAGGAGTATATCTTGCAGTCTTGGGACCGTGGCAACACCGGTAATCATCTTCCACAATCACCGCAACACCTGTGAGCATAATTTACAGTCTCGGCGACACCAATAGGCATCTCTCCAGACCGCGGCAACACCTATGAACATATCTTGCGGTGGCACAGGTGTTCGTCTGCTGCGATTACGGCAAAATCCTTGATTGGCGTTTCGGTTAATCAAACACGGCGTTATCGGCCCAGACAGGTAACAAGTAGACAATCTGACACTAGGTTGGATCTCCCGAGGAGTCGGTTATGCTGAGATCGTATATGCTGGGGTTCTACTATACTGGAACAAATCTTTGAAATACACACACAGAAAGAATTAAGTAAAAGGTAGTAAAATGCCTTAATTAACAACTAACATTTCAACTAAGATTTCAACTAAGATTTCACCAACCACCCATTCCTTGAAATTCTACCCAAACTGTTGATAATAGGTGGACAAAAATGTGAAATATTCTTAAATTGCAAACCAGAAACAACCGAGGCAGAATTTGAACCCTTAATCTGTGGTACTTTCCCCTGGCCGGAGAGACAACACCGTAGTCAGGCACCGCCACTGATCAGACCTAACTAATACAAATAAAACTGTTAACTTCACTAACAAAGGTCAACCAGAATCCCAAGTAAATTTGTTTAAAACCGACACCAAAGTTAAACATATAGCAAGTATAATAGCTTTCAGCCGTTTTTGGTTTACTTAATAGTTAATCACGAACAAAAACGAAACTATATTTAAGATTCCAGATGTAAGTGGAATTCACAGCTATGTTAGATACTCATCCTTCCGATATATTAGCCCTTAGAACTCAATATGTGAAGAACCAGGAAGAAACAACCAAATATTGTAACACGAGGTGATATGTTACAGGGACTACTGAAGGAGACAGCCACAGACTGCTTCACTCTGGTAGAAGAGGTAGGAGCCAGGGGAGGCAACAGAGGCAATGTAGTCACAGAGATGGTGTGTGAGGATGAGGAGTCGGAGAGTGCCATGGCTTCTGCCCATGATCAGAGGGAGGAGGAACTGCAGGTATGGTTTTTGTCTTTCTTTGAGGGTTGTAGGTAAATTTAGGCTTCATCAGGCTCATATAGTAACAAAAACAAATGGAGCTACTTCAAATCAAAACTAGTGTCGTGTTTGTTACTTTATCCTGTAATATTTTAACAATTTTCTTTCCCTATTAGACAACTAGTCTCGTCATAATAGCTCTAAATTATTTGAAGGAACAATCTAAGCCCCGTCATTTGAAGGAACAATCTAAGCCCCGTCAAGAATGAATTTTGTTTTATGATTAGATTTCTGTGGTCTAAGGCACCAAAGGGTACTTGTAAAGTACCTAAAATGCTGCCTGCTATTGCACACTTTTTACGTTCAAAACACATCTTTCAAATGACAGACAACAGATTTTAGTAGTGATCAACCGTTTTTCCTCAGAAACCAAATCTCAGTTATAACATTTATACTTGGCGGTAGCGTCAAATTTCCTTTGCATTGTTTTTGGATATTATAACAAGATTAGTTGTCGCAAGGGTGCAGTTAGAATTGTGGATGAAGGAAAGAAAACCACACTGGTTTCAGATTTTAGCTAGCTGGATCACTCTCAAAGGTTGATGGATACCTTAATTTACTGACAATCCTCATGTCTCTGTATGATGAAATCAATACTGTAAAATATTCTCGATAAATGCATTTTTGACATAGAATAGTACAGTCAGAGAAGTAAATAACAAGATGCTGGTGAGCTGGTGCCACATTTGAACTAGCTCAATTACTATAGTCCATTCACAAAATTTAGGAGGTTTAAGGGAAGTTTTTCTGGGTTCCCCACCACTTTTTTTTAGCTTAATGTATATACCAGCTGTCGGCTGTTATTTCAATGTTAGGGTGAAGTGGAGGGGATGGAATCCCTTCCCCTCAAACCACCTAATTTTTGTGAATGGAGTATAGCAATAATTTACCTTAAATGTGTACAACCGTTTTGTACCTAAAATAAAAATTGAAATTTTTGTTAATTTTGTTCACAATGGTAGGCAGAATAAACATCTATATAATAGTTCATTGCTCTTAGGTTTTCTGGTCGTACATCGTGGGCATGTTGACCAACCTGGACTCCCTCCCATTGGACAGGATTCACCAGATGTTGAAGATGTTCGCCTCTCAAGGTCCCAGCACTGTCGAGTGCAGTCAAATTGAATTAAGGCATTTCCTGGACCGAAAAGTACGAGAACACAAATTACTCTTCAGTGGCGGTTTGTACCGATTGCCTAAAAACTAATTTTTATCCATTACTGTAAAATTTTTTACCTGTACTATGTATCATAGTTTTATTTTTTGTCTAGTTTCAATGATCATGATTTTTTTAAATCTACTTTGGTAAGCTTTTGTGTATTTGTAAATATTATACAGTATATAATTTATATTTTCATTTACTTGCAAGTTTTTTACCCTCTCCATTCAGAACAAAAACTTAATTGTATTTTAGATTTTTCTTCTTTAATTAACCATTAGGGGCATTTTTCAATCGGTCAAAATCCTGTCAAACGCAAATGCTGTTAATAAAAGTCAAAAGAAAAATATTTAATCATAAATCAAGCCTGTTTCCAGATAAAAATAGGTACATGACATTTTAAAACATATTGAAAAGTACAAATCAAAGGGAGAAAATCTTAACACATCTGAAAGTAAATTTTCTCTTGACACTAGAGATAACGCGAATGAATGTCATGGCATTTACTTTTTAGAAACTCAATAATTTGTGAATTCCTTAAAACAATAATTTGTTTTATCTTTAGTGTTTCAAATAGACTAATATAAAGGGTGGTACATAAAGGATGGTCGGATTTCAACTGCGTAGTACTACTAGTAGTTGGGGGAGGGTCGGATCCACTGCCGGCCGTCAATAAGTCGACCATAGTATCCAATTTGCTGCAAGAGGGCACAATGGGTGGTCGAGCACCGTGTTTTTGCTGTAGAACAGTTTTTCAGAAACAATAAAACTTTCATTTCTGTGCAACAGCTGTTTCAACAACATTTTGGTGTAGCCTGTAATGGACTAGTTCCTGATCGTAGATCAATATCACGTTGGGTGACTGCGTTTCGGATAACAGTGTCCCTCATGAGTGGTAAATCTACTGGATGTACATGAACGGCAGTTACTCCACAAAACATAGAGACCGTTAAGACCGTCAGTGCTTCAAAGTCCGCTATGTTCTTTTTATGGTTTTTTTTATTTTAAAATTTTTTATGTGTCAATTGACATAGCCTACTAGCAACTTTGTAACTTAAAAGGTTATTTTTATAATGGGGCATTTGAAAGTGCCCAGAAACGTATGTCAGTAAAATTTATGTGCAAAAACATTTGTGTTATATTCATTTCAAAACCGACCATCCTTTATGCACCAACATTTACATGTTAACTTACTGTATAGTGTATATAGAGGCAGAAAAGAAACAAAACCTGTTTTGAACACATATATACTTTATTGCTATTATTTAATTACTGTTATAGGCCCAGCCTGAACATTGAATACAGCTATAACGGGGTTACAATTTTTAGGCACAAGTACAAATCATTCCTTTTTACTTTAGGCAGTGTATATTTGAAATTTACTTAAGATCTTATTAACATTTTTTATTTTATGAATCAATTTTATCATGATTAATCTGTCCACTATTTTCTGAGCAAAGACTTGAAGATGGTTAGTTTAGTGACGAAAGCATAATAAGTTTTGCAATCAGAATTAATGAGTTTGATCAACAATTTTTAGTCGAATAATCGGTCTATTAATATACTGTATTGAAATACAAAACCATCATGACATTTTATATTTTGGACTCAATTATCATGTTAATTGTGTACTGGTTCGTTACTATATGGTTTATTTAATCTCTTTAGATGTTGAAATGAATATTAAAGTGTTCATCATAAATCTTGAAGATTTGTACGTTCAACTCAGGAAACATAACTACGGTATTTCAGGCAGTTAAAATTCAATAGACCACTAACTTAAATTAAACTAGTTATTTCATTTCAGTGGAAACAGTAATTTGCAAACAACTGTTACTTTTTACGTTTTTCCTTTAACACCTTCACTCTCGAGTGTCAGGAATTGTTATATGTTAAGAAGTGTTACGGATGGTAGTGAACCTGTTAACATCAATATATTGCTCAGTTTCAATATGTATGAAAATTAATAAAGTTCAAAAAATTATGATTTAAAAGTTGCATTAATGTTATAGCAGTTTAACCTTTATCCTTGTGAATTTGGTTTAAAGTAAAAAGGAATGATTAAACAATACATTAAATATTTCTCTAATCTCACAATTTCACAATTGACATTAACCTAAGTTTCAGTTTTACAATAGTATACACGTATGTTATCACACTAAATACTTATCAAGGATATGCCGTATTGTTAATGAAAATAAAATCACTTTTTAAGTGTACTTTAACATTAAAACAATACCGTTAGATTACCAATGTCTACAGTTCTAAATAACTCTGCAGCTTCATTCTGCTTCATTAATAATTAATAATTTTATGATATCCTAAATTATACTTCAAATTGATTGACATAAATATCTATCTCTTCCGTTGTATAAAAGATTAGGGTTCCTAAATGCATTGTTCTTTGGTGTTTTAATAAATTAATTTTCATTCTTAGCCATTATTTCATGATGCACAATACACATTTTTAACAGCACAAATACTGCCAGGCAGGGTTTTGGCGTTTCAAACCAAACCATAAAAAATAAGTTGCCACATTTTGTGCACACTTTTATCAGCTAATTTTGATTTGTTATAAATTCGGAAAACACCTCACTGAACTTTTGAACATATCACCCGTCATAGGTCGTGGTTACCTGAGGAAGTACCTGCATCCCTTGTCTAAGGAGACTGCAGACCTTCTACTGGTAGCTAAGGTAACCATGATGAGGTTAGATAGACCTGGTTTAGACAGAGCTCGTTGGCAGAATGTTACAGTATACCTGCATCCCTTGCAGGTACTTCCTCCTTGTCCAAGGAGACTGCAGACCTTCTACTAGTTGTCTGCCTACTGGTAGCTAAGGTAAAGGAAAGCTCCCCTGGAACCATGATGAGGTTAGATAGACCTGGTTTAGGCAGAGCTCACAGGCAGAATGCTACAGTTTACCAAGTACCTGAAGTTTGATAGGCTGTGAAATACACAAAAGGATGTGCAAAAAAAAATGTCCCAAATTGTAACAAATGCAACCGTGGATGGACTCTGTCTTACTCCTGGGTACTCAGTACCACTTATTCTACTGAGTTCACTTTGCCCACTAAATTCCTTTTCCCTAGCAGACTTAATGATGTTTGTTTTATTAATTTAGTTTTGGTTGCGTGATGATTGCATTTGGAAGATACTCAAATACTTGATAGGAAAAGTGGTTGTAACTCCTCAGATATTTACAGATATTATAGGGATCAAGCATGTCTCTTGTACCAAAGTCTGACATTCTAATCACTAGGCTAACACACCCAAGTTTTAGTTTTAAAAATCCAAACAGTACTCTTCCTTCATTCCTGATTTGTCACTTAGTATATTTTGTCAGCTTGGTGAGGTTTTTACAAAATGAAATTAAAGATTGATACATTTTGGGTAATAAGAAATAAAATATTTTATAATATTTCAGTTATGCGTTTCCATTAAAAGTCTCACTATGAAATATAGGCATATACAACTTCATATCAAATTAGGTCTTCCTTATTATGGACATATTTTTAACAAAAAATATTCATTATTTCAAAAAATAATTCTCTACAAACATTACATCGAGTTACATTGAGCTTTTAACCATATATTTACATGTACATAACCTCACTATTGGTTGCTAATTCTAGTCTTGCTTTCACATAACAATGTACACTATAATCGACTAACTTTATATTCAGTACATAAATAACAACTCTGAAAGTAACAAAAATATCTATACCCCTTCAATATCCTAAATTAACATCACTACTTCAAAATGTAACAGGTTTCAGGTTTCTATTCACAATCTGACAAATTGACTCATTGCGGAGTATTTGCTATTTTCAATTAGTTTTCCACAATAACAATGCTACAGTATATGTTTACAGTCTGGGTTTAAGCTTTTATCAGATTTTTCGATGGCAGGCAGCGGTCAAATTATTATTTTTAATTAATCAATGAATTTTTGAACTCAGCATGAGGGTCATAAATATTTAAACATGGTGTTAAGACACTTTAAAGTAAAGTCGTGGGTTTAATTATTTACATCTCAAAAAATAATCTTGAGTTGGCAGGAGTAAATAATTTTGCATTATCGTTGACCGTCAGATGCCAGGCTAAACTTAACAGTGGTTGTCCGAGCGCCGATTAGCAAAAACATGCGTTCATGTTGAAGTATATTAATCATACATCGTAAGCTTGATTACCAAGCAGAAAATTATATGTGATCCTTAAAAATATTTTCTAATTAAATTGCTTTTTGGAATTTTAAAACTTTTACTTTAGGGGTAGAAAAAATTGCAGTTTAAGTCAATATATTTTAGTAGTTTGACAAAACAATAACAATTAAAATTAAAAATTAAATAGCAAATCACATTTGCGGTTTCAATAGCTTTAGAATGAGATATTCTGCAACTTTTTATCTTAAAAAACAATGCTGTAATATGCTTCAACCATTAACATTATCGTTACGGGCAGAAAATCCAAGATGGCCGGTGGTCCTGTTGACTCTTAATAACACTACCAGCTCAAATTTAAAACTGTTCAAAAAGATTAAACAACTTTAGTGATCTGAACATACATACAAACTGTAACGTGGTTATTGTATTTTTGTACAAAATAACACAGGTCGAGTATAGTACATCACATTTCTATAAAAGTAATGGAAGAAGAGGCCGGTTGTTGGTATTGGCTTCTAAACTGACAGTTTGTGGTTTCCGGCCTCGTGTGAAGTTTTCAGAAGAAGACCTGAAAAAATAAGATTTCGGATACAGAATTGATCTATAAATTAGGTCAGAATGTTAGGAGATTTCAAGATTGGGAATAAGAGAGATACCTTTCCAGGGTTTTATAGAACCATTTCTAGAATATGTATCCTACACTAAGCTATTAGAAAAATAGAAAATATATTAAACTTTTTTTTACATCTGTACCGTTTTGGTGAGAAGCTTTTTTCTCGGAACGAGAGATTTCAAACTCCTTGACACATTCTCGCCATTCCTCCTTCACTGCAGGATCGCTTGGACCCCAGTCTGCGTTGGCTGTCAGAGCTTGCTTGAATTTCTAGAAAAAATCAAGAAAAAATTTGATAAGAAAAAATGAAGACAGTTTTGTAGTAAAATATCAAGAAAAGTATCATAGCACGATTCCTCTTAAGGACTCATTCTGAGTTTTGAGCTAGGAATAATGTAACTATTTTTAAATGCATCATTGGTACTGAAAAGCTATAACTTTTACTTTTAGAGAATTTCCCATGTATGGAATTTTCTTGTATGGAGGAATTTTCTTTTTAGTTTTGACGTCCCCAGAGACCAAAAACACCATCCGTTTGGAATCATATATACAAAGGAATACCACCATTACCATCTCATTATTTATTACGTTTTAGATAAGACATTAAATAGAGGAATTAAAAAAAGAGTATGTTATGGAACAGCTTGTATATTATGATTGCTTTACAAACTAAATGCATTTAAACCCATATTAGAATATTGTGGCCATTTTTGAAACAGTAGAGTTGATGTTTTTAATGTAAACTATGATCGTTTAAGAATATAGATGCAATATTAAGACTTCTCTGCATTTCCTCTCCAAACTTACTCATTTAGCTACTGAGTGTTCATTGGGCAGAAAGACTAGTAGGGAATAAATCTTACATTATTAAGAAAATATTTTAGTGAAAATAAAATCAGGTACATAGAAATTTGTTTAGTCTGCTGGATTATTGCTGCGGAGGGATTTAACTGCTATCACTGACCAGTTTAAGCGTAGGCCCTTGTTGCCGCAACACCGTGACGACTGCCCAGAAGGGTATTTGCATGGTAGACAGTCCTGCTAATACCCAACCTATCCCATCTGCCCAGTCCGGGTAGTCGTAGTTCTCATACCTCAATGGTTTGTAGTCTATCAGGGAGTAGATGAAAATTGTCTACAAAAGAAACAATATATCGCTCCAACACCAGTTATGAACTTGACTGTACATTTGTAAAAAGACTCTACCCACTATACCCACCATTTTACAGTTTGTAATATTTTGTTAAAAACTTGTAAATAATTTTGTGGGTACTGAATGTGTTTGTTGATGAAAGTTAAAACAGTTTTTTTTTTTTTTTTTTTTTACTGATGCTTCCTAAGATAAAGGTATCTTCTTGAGAACTAGGAAAATTCCAAACCATCATCAGAAGTACGTTTCATAGCCAAACATTGTGCACGCACAATCAGCTACAATATTATTCTAAATGATTGTAGCAGTAACATTTATGCAGTGCTAGACAAATAGGCCTGATTTATTTGTTGAAGCCACTAACATGAGTTAATGGTCGTCCATACTTGGACAATTGAACTGTGCGAAGTCACAACCAGATACTAAAACTTTTATAGACCCTAAACAGAAGGATTTACACTGGTTACTCCTTGTAATCGTAGTCGTCTTGACGAGTCAATGGCTCAATTGGTAGCAAAGTTGGTTACGAATTTATAAATGTTGTGGATTCTCTCGGCGGTGTCTCTAAAGTTCATCAGTACAATTCATCCACGGGGACAAGGATATGTTAAAAGTGGCTGCCATCCTCTATTTTATAGTCTTAAGTTGTAGCGGTTGATAAGTAACTTACGGACAGTATAACTGGCCCACAGAAGCTCCACGTTACCCTCCAGTAGACGTTAGGTCTGAACCCAAGCATGAATTTTAGATCCTCACAAAGTCTGTTTAAGCCTGAAACATGTGTATTGGAACGTTAAAAGAAGGTTAAATTAACTTACACTCTGACGGTAATAATTTTTTTTCTCCTTTTAGGGAAACATTTCTGGCATTTTTACTGTTAAACGTTGACTTAGTGTTTGACAGATGTCTCTGTTTTAGCTGGTCAATATGTGTATATCCTTGTGAAAAAGAAGGTACTGTAATATCAAATGAATGAAAAGATTAAGCTTACTGTTAAAAATATTATCACCATCATACATTATTGCTGTAAGTCAAACTAATACACCTGAATTTGTTGAATTATCACAAAAAAAGTCATGCTTTATAACATTGCTCAAAACTAAAATATTTATCTTAATAAATTTCATATTTTTTCAACCATTAGTTTTTTATATATTTATCAATAATGATATTTGTATTTTAAAAGTTTGAAATTAGTTATAAATAATGAGGATGGGAAAATACTTACCATACAGCCAAATTAGAGCGATGCATTCAGATATTGCAATGAAGAGAATTGCGATCCCGCCTCCATAAACATCCATTAACGTTAGGACGTAGTTGCCACCCTAGAAATCAATTGATAGTTAAGAAAATTTAAGAAATTAATCAAATAAAAATTGCTCCTATTTTAGATTAAAAATCCACCTAACCAATTAAATATACATACTATAACTACTGAGTGAAACTGATAGCTAAAACACTTTTTCCTTTTCTAAAAGAAACTTCTTTCAATTTTAAATACAATTAAGTAACATATAACATTATACTCAGTTTGTGTCAATTGTACAAGGCCAGCTGACCCTCATAAAAATGTATGTGTTTAAGAATATCTTACATTATTTACTCATCCAAAAGGGGTTGTGTTAGAGAAAGTTACTTACAAAATTGTGTAAAATAAACCTTAAGGGATTGCAATTATCAGCTGTTCTTGGAAATAAAGGATGGTTGGAAAAGCGTAGTCTCAAGCAGTGGGGATTAGGCAGAAAATTTGATAATGTGTAGAAACCAAAAGCATCTTCTTCTTGTAATGTGTATTAATAATACATTAAATTACAGTATTCTTCTTGGAATTAAACATAAATGAAAACAATTATTCTAACAATTGTTATAGTCAAGGCATTCATGTAAACTCAATTCACTCACATATGTCACACAAGTGAGGCCAATGCAGTAACAGAGAACAGCAGTAGCTACACAGAAGGTCAATTTGCGTTTTCTCAAACTTGGAAATTCGTCAGAGATACTCGTCAGCACATTTTCCAGAAGTGCAAACTGCAAAAAGTAAAAAAAAAAAAAAAACACATTGAAGCATATTTGGGTATGTGATTTCATTATGAGATTTCAGACTGCAATTAATTTAATCATTTTTACATCAAATATGTTAATAATGAAAAAGGGGGAGTATAGATACTAAGAATATACATTGAGTCTTTTATTAGGTATTATTGTTAGGATACTAGATTTTTTGCGGTTTTTGGTAGTAAGGCCTCTGAATGTTTGCACTGAGCTCTGCACCACCCAAGGCTACAATATTATTAGCCTACTGGCATGAAATTATTGGCTTCGTCTAAACACTTCAGGCCAATTGTCTTGTCAACTGCCCTCGTAATTGCCCTGAAATTCAGTTGCCTCCAGAAGCAGACTGAGGACAAGAAGGACAACTGGCCCCTGACAATCCTGCAATGACATGATGACAATTAGCAAAGATAACTGTCTCAACAACAGGCATCTTGTAAAGCCGGCTTAACAGAGAAAACCCTTGTTATTAAGTGTATAGATAACTAAAATCATCTGTTAAAGGCATGAGCATTTATTGAAAAAAGTCCAACGATTAAGAACAACTAGACCCGCTTTAGAACCATCAACTACTGACTCAAAATGCCTGTTTGGGATAAATCTTAAGTTTATTCTCAAAAAACCTTACCTCACTGTCAAGTCCCAAGATGAAAAGCATCATGAAGAACAGAATGGACCACAGCTGAGGTACAGGCAGTCTCAGCAGAGCTTCTGGGTAAGCGACAAACGCCAGACCAGGACCTTCCTTGACTACATGGTCTACAGGGACGCCGAGGTCGTGAGCCATCGCGCCCAGTATACTGAATGTGACTATGCCTGAGATCATACTAGTGATTGTGTCCATGACACTCACCACCAGAGCATCTCTGCAAATCAAGTTTGATTCTCATATTTTTATATTTCTTAAACAGTACAAAGTTGTATAGAAAGTCAATAGTTTTTAATAAATGTGGATAGCTTGAATTAGCGTAATTTGTTTGTACATTAGAACAGTCATTCTTTTCTCTAGAGATTTTGGAAATTTAGGGCTATGACCGCTTTTCTGTGTCATTCACCATTTCTCTGATTTCCCTTGCTCACACAGACAATCATGGGTTTCAAAAGAAAACAGTAAAATAATACACTGGTTTGTTAGGAAATATACCTTTAAAATAATTTGTAATCTTATCTAAAGGATTTACATCAAGAGAGGTCAAGAATCACCCTGCAAACTGTTTCAAATATATAGTGACTTTTAAAAGTATTTATTATTTAGTGATCCAAGCAGCAACAAGTTGTGAACTCAGCTTCTAGGAAACACACCCGACAGTAATAAACGTTTAAGTTGAGCTTATGCTAAATTCTTTTGGATATTGGGCAAGTTTAGTTAAACTGAGTATGTTATTTTGCGTGGCAAATAAAATCTTGAAACATTTCAGAGATACAAGAAAGAAGACATCTAATATTGGAATACTGCCATAAAGTTATGATTTGTAGAAATATCTGTTAACCACGTACCTGTATACATTGTTTCTAAAGTCATTGTAACTGCTGTACATTATAAGGCCTCCCATGGACACACTGAGAGAAAAGAACATTTGGCCAGCAGCTGCTTGCCACACCTGAAACAGAATTTTAATTAAAAAGAATGAATCTTATAATACATTTGTTTAATGTGAATGGAAAGTTTAGTTTACACTCTTGACTATTTGAAACTTGAATATGTTTGATCTCTTCCTGCTTTAAAATTGCAGATCTTCCATTGATCCTTCTATTTGCTTTTTTCTTTACTTCAGCTCAAAACCTCAAGACTTGAAGGATATGCAAGGGGGATTCAATTTTTAGGCATTGAAAATAATATATGGCCTTAACGGAGAAATTTATATCTAAGTCTTTTTGTAGTAATAAACTATTTGTGTTCTAGCAGAACGGAGTTCTTTTTAATGTACGTAATAAATTATTTAAGATCATCTCCCATTATTTAAACATTTGATACTGAAATCCTTCATGAGCATTATGTGCAGTACGGTACCTGTATATCGAGCAATTTCTTCCAAGTGGGTGTAATGAAGTACAAGACTCCAGAGATGGCTCCTTCCTGACACAATCCTGTCACTAGGAGGGTGAACAGGATCATGTAAGGGAATGTTGCTGCAAAGTAGACCACCTGGAATATACACCACACTTAGTAACTTATAAGTGAAAAAATGTGTAGTGGCTAAAAGTAAAATATTTGTGTCAGACGTCCATATTAGAACATAGTCAGAAAGAATCTACCATTAGACAGATACATGTTAGGAGAACTCTTCTCATTGACTCTACCTCAGGCAGGAGAACCTTCCGTAAGTGGTACTTCCAAGAAGTGATGCAAAACATTTATACAACTTTTGGCTAATAAAGTAAGCCTTTTGACCGACCACTTAGTTATCAACTACACCCAGTAATTGGTTTAAGCGTTTAAAGTTTTATAGTTAGTTGACACAGTTCATGTAGTTTGAGGTCTTCATAATTTACCATCTTGTATCGAAAATGTGAAAATGTATGAATCAGTCTACCTTTCCTGAAGTTTTGATGCCTTTGACTAAGCACAGGACAACAATGACCCATGAGAAGAGAAGACAAAGGGCCAAATCCCACTTGATGGGGCCGAGGTGCTCTATGCCATCGGACAGATGAAGAACGTGCCTTCTGCAAACAGAGATGCATATTACACAAATGTGTGTAAATTCAATGAGAATGGCTATTTCAATATATATTTAGAGTAAGCACTTAGATCCATGATACAGAAATGTTAGTATATTTCAATGTATTGTCGAGGAATGGTTTGTTAACATAGATACATTACACAAATGTTAGTATATTTTAGTGTTAGCTGTTTTTTTGAATGTCTTTTTAGAGGAGATTAAAGCAATAGATGACTTTGCTAGTCTGTAAATTAATTGTTGTTAAATTGCATTATTTACACCACTATATCTGGTGGAGGTTGGAGACAGTTAATTTGTTGTTGGATTTTACAAAACCAAAAACTAGTTATCCGCTGACTACCAAGACTGAAGATACGTACGCCTGTAATGTATATTTGCATACCTATCAGTCTTATTGGCAAACATGTTACTATAACATAATAACATGTTACACAAGGACAATAACATACTAAATCTTTATCAAAATCGTTCGGGCCATTTTTGAGAGAAGCCATAGATTTTTCTGTTATTTTATGGGTTTTTATGGAAAAATTACCATTAACAATCAAAATCTTGAAAAAATTTAAAAAACTCATGGAGATACCATGAATTAGTACCTATACATGCCAAATTTCATCAAAATCGAACTACAGGTGTGGTCTGTAGCTCTGTACTCATCCACACACACAAAACATCACTTTTTTAGGTTCAGGGGGGGCCAAAACAGACATATTCGCTCAAAATAGAAAATTTTGACAAAACAATACTTTCTCCTTATTGAGCGGAGCGAAGCGAAGCTCTTATACTACACTCCTGCTTTTGTTTTACAAATACTCCTCCTGAACGGCCGAAGCGATCTGCACCAAATTTAGCACAATCGTAGTATTCAACCATGGGAAGGTATAAATCTGAAATGGTACAAATCGGACCACAGGGGTTTTCTCTACATTAATTTAAACTTTTGGAAATTTAACATGGGCCTTATGGGTTAATTGGTTGTCATGACATTATTTGCGAGATAACAATAAAAAGGTAAACAAGAGTCGCAACATGTGTTAGTCAAGGAATCATCTAAATAGCACATTAGAAATACTGTAGGCCTACAGAGAAAAAGGGAATATCAACCGGATTAATATCATTGAGCATAATTTACTACAAAATGAATAACCAATAATATTATGGTCGCCGGAATAAAGCCGATGCACCATTGATTTTAATACGGTAATCCACATAGCCATTCTATTTATGTGAACCAAATATAGGCCTATAATTGAGTTTGGATACTGCAAGTAGACAGTCTATTGTTGTGATCCAGACGTAAGGCGTACCATTGGCAAATAGGCATTTTATTTAAGCGAACCAAATGTATCATATTGATATTGGATACTTTGCAAGTAAACATTTAAGAGAACCAGATGAAACATTGACTTGGTTCCTGCAAGTAGACAATTCATTTACGTGAACCAGACTTATAAATTGACTTTGAATACTTCAAATAGACATTCCGTTTTTGTGAAGCAGATATACCATTGACATTGGATACTGCAAGTATTTAATCTCATTTACGAGGAACAGATGTAGTATTGACTTTAGAAAAGTATTGGATTAATACGCTAGCTCCGCTCAATATTGCAAGCAGACAACTGCATTGTATACCTAGTGTATAGGGGGAGAAAGTATAAAGAATTATATTTTGTAAATACAGTTGACATTGGTATTTTATATTCTCAATGGCTCTTGTACTTACTCCCAATACTGAAGACTGGCTGTCTCCTTATTGCTGCCATTAGTCAGCTGACTCGTAATATTGTGTAAAACGTTTCCTGCGGCTGTGACGTTTGAAGCGTTCTGAAATACAAACAAGACGGAAGTTTGCATGTGACCAATTAATTAATCTGTCTTTTTTCTTTTGTATCTATCAGCTCTTGCTTCTCTTAATTTTTTTCCTGGTAAGTTAGCTAAACTCTACTCTTTCCAAAAAGCCAATGAATGAAAATTAAATAGAAATTCAATTAGTGCTAGAAGTGAAAACATACCTGAGAAGGCGCCTTTCCTCGGACATAACATGTAGCCATATCAGCCCAAGCCGGATCACACTTAGACCAAGGCACCTCGGAAGAGAACGACGACACCATGTAGAACACGGTGTACGACATGATCACATTGTAGTATATACAGACTATCAGTGACACCGTCACCATGGCACAACCAACACCTAAACACAATGAAAACCACAGCCATGGCAAAAATTAAAATCAATAAGAAAACTAACCAGACAACAAACGGTCCGCTGTGACGCGAGTAGTGGAATGGATAACCGCCATGAAAATAAAGTTCATAAAACAATCGATCGATTGTCAATTATTTGAGGAAATAGATCTCAAAGTATACAGATAGGGTTTTAGATGGCAATAATAAAAATAGCGCAAAAAACAACTGTTGTAGATCTCCTTGAACCGAAATAGCCTTTAAATTCTAACAATTGTACTTACTGATAAGATAGTTATCCGAAACGATCTCGCACCCTTTACTTTGGTTGGTGCAGTTTAACTGTGTTCTATATATTCTAGGGTTTTTTTGTTTGTATTTATACCCACTACAAGCATCTTGTCACTATATAATTTAATGTAGATATTTTTGGATGAGATCATTTAATAGCCAAATGGCAAATTCTGTCACAATTTAGAATCAAAACCCCCTGGGATTGAACTAGCGACCTTCAATCTTGACGGCAAGTATTATGAAACCACTCAGCTACCGAGATTAACGAGGAGGCCCCTAACCGTCGATTTCGACGGATTTCACCTAGAAGTAAATATTTAATTTCAACAAAATCAGTAAATATACCCCAATGCGTTTCATTGAATTGAAAAATAAATAACAGCAATTAAATTATACAGCTGATCAAAATGTAAACAATTATGTTCTTCATAAGGATAACATGGGAACTTAAACAGCTACTGGGGCAAAGCCCAAGGGACTTTTTCAAAAATGTATCGCAAATCTACGTGACACGCTCTTTCCAATGAGACGTCAATGGATAAAATCGGTTAAGAAATGGCGGAGGAGTTCAACCGACAAAGTTTCATGTAGCGTATTAATTATATAGATCCATTCAACGCTAAAGTTAATAATATTTCTAGACAAAAGCATTACAAATATTATATTGGAAAGAATTACAAAACAAACCACATTTATGCATTACAAAAATTATACAGGAATTAATCTGTTTATGTAGCAAAAATTAATTTATGTTTCGCTGCTTAAACAAAACCGGTTGGTTCCAGGTTTAATTTGAACTGACATTCAACAATCTAACTGTCACAGCATAACAATCTCTTCCCACAAACAAAACAATTTTGTATTACTTTTGTCAGTAAAAAGTTATTTCGGTGATTAATTACGAACGAGGTGAAGAAGTTACATTTATTGTTTTTCTGCTGTAGAAGTGTTTTTGTGTACATGAAGACTTTAGACATTCAAAGTTCCTCCCGAAGTTTTTACAAATAATCCATTTTTACACTACTGTAATTAGCGAATTTCCCATAGCCTATAGGGAATAAGCTATTTAAAAGCTATTTATTTTAAGAACAGCACAATATAGTTACGATTCTATATTTACAGCTTTTCATAACCTGTAGAGCACATTTTTAAAAATACAACTAACTGACAAAGTGTTGACTTTGCTCAGGTAATCCTCTAAACATTTTTATTACCTATTTTTTTATAAACCCTTGGGATAATAACTTATGTCCATTTGAAAAATAAAAATTTGTAAAATTTTGTACCAAATTTAATCTGAAGTACATTTAATAACATTTAATGTGTAAAGCTACATTTATTCTAACGAGTTCGTAAACCTGCATTATCAGACTATGGGAATGGGGATTTATGGGGTAAAAATTGGGTTTCCCATTTTTGACCCTAAAAACATAACATTTAGCTACTTCTTTCCAAACAATTTTGTGGAGCTTAAAAAATGTAATATATGGAAGCGTTGTTGCTTCTTAGGGAGAGTTTATGTAGTTTGCTTGTTTGTGGAGATAGTTTGATTTAATTTGACATTTGTTTATTTCATTCTAAGCTATCAATATTTCTGTAAAAAAAAAAACACATTACTCTCTCTGTAGGAACAACCTAAGTATTCATTAAAATGAATGTAAATAAAAAAAACATAAACCTGACTATTTTAGGGGAATATTTTTGTGAAAATCTAACCAAGTAAATGGAAATTTGCTTAGTCTGCAGGTTTTATGCGGTGGGGGTATTTTTTATCTTATTACTTTAGCTGAGTAATTTGATGGATCATAACAGTTGCCATAGCACAATCTGTCAGTGGCTCACATAAACTCTGACGATTTTGTTTTTAAAACACTAACAGTTTTCATATGGGGATGGACAGCTCATGAGTATGGGATGTCTACCATATTAGCCAAAAGTTAATGCAATTTAGGAATAGAATAGCAGTTTGGAAAATATGGTATATCTCTCTTAAAGATGGTAATGTTTTGATAAATCACCATCACCAATATAAAAACTACGATAGATGTTTTATTCAAGCTTACCCTTAGCTATAGGACAGCAGTTCCACAGGGCTAAAGGTCCGACACCCCCGAACTGACCGACTGCTAGCTCCAGAAAATACATCGGTTTTCCTGCCAGCGCCAACATGATCAGGTACGGTACTAGGAACGCTCCTGAAACAGAACATCAGCGTTAACACTATGAATAGATCTCATTCCTTAGTGAAATATGCATTTGTTTATATTTTCTGAGAGAAAAACAATAATATTAGTGATTGATTAAACATATTAAGCCCTTCCCGTCAATAAAAATCCAAACTCTAAAAAAAAATTAAAAAGATTAGCGTTTATTTAACATCTCGTAAGGCTTCCACGATCATTAACTAAACTATAATCGTTGAATTGTATGTGTTTTGTAAATTTGTATTTTTTGGAAATAAAATAAATAAATAAAGGAGGACATCCTGGTACCACTTTGTCACAGAAAGAAACTAACTATGTTCATGCCAAATATCATCAAAAGTCGTTACTGTACTCAACTAAAATTACTCAAGTCATCGTGTTCACGGACACATATACATACATAAAAATCAAGTTTTTGTTTCCTAAGGACATCAAAATGAAAAATATGACTAGTCAAGTGTTTAGGTCTTACTTACGGTAATAGCTCCTTCCCTATAGGGAAATTCACTCAAAGTAAGTTAATGCTTCTGAATTAATCTATCAAATTTCTCGATAAATTGTAACTCAGAACTCTAGGGTTTGTTCTCTAGTCTTGTAACCGCAGAGGAAAAATTTTTAACTAACTGTTAAAAAATAAAGACAATTAATATGTCATTTTTTAAGGTATGTAGGGAACAAAGTGTTTTTTTTTTATTTACAATAAATGTTAATTTTGATGCTTTGTAGCAGTCAAACATATATTCTAGGTTGAAAGAATGTTAATATTCACCAAATAAAGGTTAGTAATAAGAAGGAGGCAACAACCACCAATGGAGCTGTGTGGTTCATGAAGGGCTGTTCAAGTATTGACAATAGCTTTTGTGTGAAAAGTTCTTCATAAAATCCTTACAAGCTTTAAATTTATGCAAGCTTTTTATCCTTTTTAACAAAATAAACACTGTAAAAATGTTAAAGTACTTTATATACTGAAAGTATTAAATTATAACAAATAAGGAACTTTTAACATGGTTCCCTAGTGGAATAACCAGTTTCTTTTTTTAGATTTAGGAATGTTTTGTCATAGAATTAAAATCGATCTTATTGTTGTAAAGACATATTGACTTTGTATACAGCAAAGTATTGTAAATCGTATGGCTCACAAAAAATATCATTATAGCCATTACAATAATAAATTACTTAACCTGAAACCTTTGTAAGATATTAATGGTTTGTAACCTAGAGAAGTTGAAGAGCTGAAGTCTCATCTATCATGGTCAGGTGCATGGGGGGGGGGAGAGGGGGAGGTAAGTTTTGGAGAGGGGGAGAAAGATGGTTTAAATCTTGACCAATATCCTCCCCTCTCCATCCCTCTGTTGAATTATAACAAACGAAGTAATCCAGTAACTATTACTTGGCATTTTAAGTTTAAATAAAAATATATGTAATTCCGTCTCCTCAATCAGAGGTGATACTGCACTGCGGCCATTTTGGAGATTACTGCATCTTCGGGTCCGTAGTTAAAATATAAGTTCCTTTAAGCCAGGACAAATTTTATATTTTTTAGCTTAAACATTGCAGCCACCAAGATTGAAAATTTAAAGTTACTTATTGAGGTAACTTGTTCATCTTCTTTGTTACAGTAGTCATAGGTATACTAATTTTAGGCAATATATTTAATTATCAAACCCAAAATCAAATTGGCACTAAATCCAACAAAAAGTAAAAAATCACATTAGATGGTAAAAACTACCAGGGTTTGAATGCTCTTGAAAGCATAAAACAGTCGTACGACAAAAACACAGACAAAATAGTTCAACCAAATATAACGCTCTACAATATAAGTATATTTTGTATCATAATTTTCCTCAAATGTAGTGGTGAAATGGGGAGGAGATGTGAGTTATAATTCAGAGCAGGGTTCCACATTGACACAGTACAATGTGGTGTCAAGTGTGTATTGTGCAGAGTTTGCTGTAAATGTTACTGCTTTTGTCCCTCTAACGCAATTACATACATACTATTGTCGCTTGTATTTTGTGAGGCATGTTGGTATTAAACATTTATTTCTACGGATAATGTACTTGAAAAAGCTATCACGGTTGAAAGTGTAAATGAGAACCTTGGTAATTTTTGTTTAAAGAATCTACAGAAAAATGATAATGAATCGTTTGCTAAAAGCTTAATGATAAACTAATGAACAATAATTTGAAACGCTGTTTTGACTACAAAAATTAAATTTAGAATCTTTAAATCTTATATTAGTGGACACTAGAGTCAACATACTCGTGTTTTGTATTCTCTGTTTTCCATGTAATATAAAGCCATCCCGTGGAGCCCAGATTGACAGGCTTGGCACAGTGGGGAGTAGCTGTGTCTAACATCTACATCTGGTTAAACGTTGAAATTGAAGACCAGCTGTGTTAGAGAAATATATTGTCGGAATTATTAATTTTGTGATTCAACACAACACTTAAATCAATAATATGCATTTTTTCAAAACATAGTATGAATCAATTTTTTAAATTTTTTGGATTACTAGCTGCTGTACTCGTGCTTTGCAACGGGAAGAGGACACAAAATAGAAACACTTTGATCTTTACATTTGTTGTATAAAAAAGTTGCACATCCACCAACGCTTTTAGAAACAAAATTCGTCTGCTCTTTAGTATCTAGTGACAAAAATTAGGAAAAAATATTCTATAATGAAATTTTATATTAAAATTAATAGTACTGCACCCTATTGGTAGACCTTATAACTTGTTAATGCCATTTAATATCATAGAACCAACTTCTGTATTTGAAACAGCTGACGAAATGGTTTTATTCCTTTTAAATATGACTAGTGTACCTGTTGCTCGAATTCGAGCAATTGCGAAGCATTACAGGCGACTCAAAGATTATGGAAATACTCACGATCTACACAACAGTTAGATATAATCAAAATCTTTTGTAAATATCTTATCTTTTTTCAAAAAGTTGATCTTGTTTTTTTAGTGTTTTTAATGTAAAAAAAAGAACATTATTTCTATTTCTTTTACTTGGTTGTGTTCTATGACTTTTTCTATGTTTCCATTGTTTGCAAATCGGTTATTTAAATGATTGCTCAAGAAATGTAGCATAGTGTTAATTCAGTTTTATTTTTAGCCTATATCAAATTGTCCAAGATTTCTCGCTCTTTTCCATTGTAATAATTACACCAACCCAAGTTTCGTCTACAGATGCAATATGCCAAAGAATATCACCTACGTACAATCTCCAAGAAGTGGTAAAAAAGGCAGAAACCAACCCATACAATAAAGTTAACTCCATTAGAAATAATTTTAAAAATTAATGTGATATTAGGAGTTTCCCCTGATTTGGTAATAGAACATTATATTGCAAAACATGACACGATGCAGAAGAAAATCAATTTTAAAATCAGAAAAATCCGTTGCAAATACTGTACTTCATTTTGACAAATTCAATAAATCACAATTTAAATATTAACACCTGTTGCATTAAAAAGTAGTGTAGAATTATGCATATGGTCGTAATGTAAACAAATCTGAAGAGGCAACTTTAAAGGCTTCTGGGGCAGAGCCCCAAGGGAATTTACCTCTTTCCTCTTTTGATGGCTCATCTACAGACAAAGACCTTTCTTTAGAGACCCCTACCAAGTTTCTACGCCCAGCCGTTCTCTCAAATTAACTGTGACAAAAACCCCGTTTTCCTCCATAAGAATAACATGGGATGGGAATTTAAAGGCCACGGGGGCAGAGCCCCAAGGGAATTCGCCATGTTTCTCTTTTGATGGCTCATCTACAGACCAAGACCTTTCTTTAGACACCTCTACCGAGTTTCTACGCCCAGCCGTTCTCTCAAAATAGCTGTGACAAAGAAAAACAGTTTCAAATTAATATATAGATTACTCATAAGGTTAACATGGGAAACTCAAGAGCCACTGGGGTGGAGCCCACGAAAGGACTTTTGAGATAAGAATGCGTCTATATGTTAATCGGGAATGTGAGCTATCATCACACCAAATTTCAGCCCAATCCAACCAGTATTTTTCGCGTTTACTTGTCACAAACATACATACATCCATACATCCAAACTTTCTCATTTATAATATTAGTAGGATAAATAAACTACAACTAATCTTACTGTAAAGTCTAAAGTTTGTTTTAATGAGTGTGTTGAAGCTGAAAAAATGTTGCTCGTATCGTATTCAACTCTTTGATAATAATTCTAGAGGTCATGATGTGGTGTTTTTGCTGACAAAGAGTTAAGCAACTACAAAACATGGACTGTGTTTGGTTTTCAAATTTTTTTTTATGCAAGTGTGTAAAACATCACACAATTTTTTAGTGTAAAATAAAATATAATTAGAGGTCGTCCAGTGGTTGAAAACTCGACCGAAATTATGTAATACACAGACTTCTCTATTTTCACCGCACACTGTAAATAAAACATGTGATTGGAATTTCTTCTATTTGTTTTGATTTTCTCTTTATGTTTTGATGTTATACCGTCACCAACATGGCAACCCATGAGGCCCATGTTATTTAAAAAAAATGTTTTGCTTATTTTTGAGCCTATTTTATTTTATAAAGGGATTCTGCATACCTACTGGATATAAATATCTTTCTAACAGTATGCGTAAATGTTCCCCACGAACACGAGCTGATAAAAAAGGTTTTAAAGAAACATGCTTGCCTATTAACATACTGTATAGATATTTTAATATTATAATTACAGTAGTCACTTCAATGTCCCGGAGGGCACGGCGCAGACTAGGCAAAACTGATACAGTATGTGTATTGCATCATTCAAGCGAAGGCGCACGGTATAAAAATTGAATAGGCTTGTGTGATACCTTTACTCTTTTAAAATGAATGTAATAGTTTTAACATTCTGTAAACAGTAGTTCAATTTTAATCAGAAATGTATTAGCGTTGATTAAAATTTAAAATCTAATACCACAGAGTATAAAAATAAAACCAGATATTTTGAGGTTAATCCCGATACAGTTT